TTCTGAAAAATCGAAAATAAATACGTGAAATCGTATGTTTCATTGATGAAAGTTAAAAATTGACATTCTAGTAAACATTGGAAATTTAAAATTCGTTTATCTCAAAAGAACAAACTGCATGCCGTGGCCGACTTGCTCCGAAAATTGGGCAAAATATCAGAATTGTTTTAATGTTTCGATTAGTATTAAGCGTGAGTGTGTGTTTTTCAGTATATTTGTAAACGACTTTTTAATCTGAAATTTTGCTCTGATCTTAAATTGTAGTGTCTTTTCTGAAAGCGAAGAAATCTTTTTTTGATTTTTCTTGTAACCGTCTTCATTACTGTGAAAAATACAATTTAATAATTTGTTAATTGTAGATTCAAGGTTGTATTAACAATAAAACTGTCCTGTATCTGAAATATCTTTCTCCGGAAGAAAATTTTCTTTTATCACTATGCATTTATTTTAATTGAAAATATTATCACTTGTTGCTTATTTATCCTTGAATATTTTATAGAAAACATACAGTTTAAAGATCATGGCTATTTTTGGTTCCGTTTCACATCAGTGGAAATTGTCTCAATTATTGTTTTTCGTTTTTGGGAAGCATAATCTCGAATTTCCCGTTTGTCACTATAATACCGTTTGCTGTTTGGTAGAGTTGATAGTACGGTTTTCAAACATTGCCTTCCTGTTTGACATGACAACCGTAGCGATATTACATTTTTAGTGTCTCTTTTCCTCAACTGTGACAACTAAATTAAATAATAACTATTTTTTTTTCAAGTCATCATGGGAACCCAGAAAAAAAAAATGTTCGTATTGTAATACTCACGTGTGAGTCATTGAACTGCCGCCCACGCTTTAAGGATTAAGCGATAAAAATAGACGGTGACGTTTCTCTTATTGAGAAGTGTGCAAAATGTCATCAGAAACTGAATAAAACTATAAATGTATATAAAAGTTCATACTGTACAATATTTTATATCCAGATAGTCAGTAATAATGCGCAAATTAAAAATTGCCATGGAAAGTATAATCAAATTAATTGTTGTTTTTTTAATGTACTTTATGCTAAAATTATCCACTGAAATTTGGAACAGTCGTCCTGAAGTAATGGATGGCGCGATTTGCCTCAATTTTTATTTAAACGAAAGGTCTTGTCTTGTAGACTAGCTCAAATTCTTCAGTTTTTCGATTTCTCTGCAAATTTTCCCGGAAAATGGGAAAAACGGTGAAAAACATGACAAAGGAAAAAAAGAAATATACTTATAATAGGCATTTATAAATTCTATGATATTGTTATCTATTTTCACAGATTCGTTATTATATATTATTATGATACATATACTTATTAATATATAATAAATATATATATATTATTACCAATACATATTTTGAAATAGTCTTAAATTAAGCGGATTACCCTCACATTCTCTAACATTACAACCTGGTGTGATTATCATTTTACTGCGCAAATTAAATGCGAACGAGAGCCTTCTTAATGATAACCGCTTGGTGGTAAAAAACCTTTATGAAAATTCACTATATTTGAAAATTATTACGGTGATAACCTGCAGATTAGATCTAACACCTTCCGATATACCTTTATATAAGTAAAAAAAATTGTTAAGTTTTACGAAAGTATGGTGAGACTGGATATGTTATATGGATCAGAGTGTTGGGCGGTAGATAGATAAAATACATACTTAAATGGATGAATGAAGTTATAATAGAAAATAGGAAAAAGAATGGAGAGATTGCTAAGGCGGTTTGTACATATTATGAAAAGAATTAAAAACAGTACTAATTTTAATGGAAATAAACTTAAAAGGAAGACCGAAAAAGAGGTCGTTAGATACGACTAACAATTATATGAAGACACTCAAGGACAACAAATATGATACTAGATGACAGATCGAGTCATTTAAAAGTTTAGGATTAGTGCGACTGACTCCAAATAACTTAGATGAAGATGAAGGAAAAAAAATCGAACAAACATAAAATAATATATTTTATAACAAAAACAATTATGTTTAGTTAAAACTTAAAAGTCTCACGATTCTAACGAAAAATATGTTTTCCTCATCCTACGTGGACGCTAAATTTATCTTGTAAAGCGGTTTAAATTTGTTTATTCAAGTAGTTATGGAGGGGTTGGGGTTGTAAAAGTAATAAAAGTAAATATCTGGAATGTAAAAAAGAGACATTTAATGAAAAGCAATAATTTCACTGTTCAACGCCTAGCAAGTTAACAATTACTTCTCGGAGTTCACTCGTTCGTTTCGCGACATCATGTCGGAATTTCAATCAAAAAAATACCCTCGATTCGTTATGAAAAACTATGTTACAGAAAAAAAAATGCTATTTGGAAACTACCACTCTAGAAAATAACAAAAATATCTTAGAAACAAATGATTATTTTCGGAATTATTACGTTCCCTTTTAATTTTTTTTTCATCGGTCAAACTGTCCCATTCTTGTTGAAACATAAACTCGAAAAGGTAATCGAATTATTATTATTTACAATAGGAGGTACGATAATTAGATACAATACTTATTAGATAATTATTTTCGATTTAAATCGAATTATATTATTATACTAATAATATAAATCAGATTTTGAGTCAATTTATGATTTTTTTAAGAATTTTTAAGGCATTGCGATTTAATTTTCTATCAGCGTCTAATTTTAATAATTATAAATATCTTACTACAATATTGATTTGAAATACGTATTTGCTATAAGTCTATAGAACTTTTTCTGAAAATTGATAAAATGAGGATTAGAAAAATTATAATAATAATAAAAGTATTAAAATTGGTCAATTTTACAAATTATCTATTAATGGGTATTGTTCTCGTGATTTAAACTTTTTTTTTTTTAAGTATTGATAAATCCTGTTGTGCATTTTACGTTGTCGATTTTAATGTTTATTATTTTTATTAAATAATGGGAAAAAATCCAAAACAACATATTACGATACAAAGTAAATTAGGAATATGTTTAAGAGTTTGCAATTATAAAATAACAAAAAATAAAAGGATTCGAGTAGGGCTTGCAGTACGCAGAGATATGAGAGATGAACGAATTTTTTGGTAGAAAAGTACGGGACAGGGAAAAATGAAGAGAGTAGCATATATTATGACGATGAAAAATTGTAAAAGAAATTTGAGACAATGGTATAAGAGAATCAATCATTTTGCCGGAAATATTTTATTGTTTTTAGTTTGAGCTGATTTCGTTTTAATTTTATTTACTACGACACAACTCGTATATTAAGTACAATTTGTAATTTTTTCAGGTTTTTCATTTATGCCATTACAACGGATACAAAGAGACGTTTGTATGTCCACACGGGACCCGATACGATCCGACAGTACAGGAATGCAGAGTTTGGTACACGACGCCCTGTTTGAATAGTAACAGGCTCAGGCCGTATTAATATACGACGACAATATATTTGATTATGTTAGGAATTCTATTGCCGTATAGTTACAAATAATATTATACTATAATAATTTAATACTCGTAATATTATTTAATTTAACTTAAACATAATAAAAAAAAAAAATGTATCCACTCGAATTGCTGTCCAAAATAATAAGTAATACTGTTAATACCTTCTTGTATAATATTTGAGGTTATGTACTTAATTTGTAGTAAATAGTACAAATTATTAATATGTCTACATGTACTTTCATTATAGCTATTAAAGATACGAATGGGCCGTCGGTTGTTATTGGTGGTGTTTACGGGCATAAGGATTTGAGGTTGCATAATATTTTTTTCCATACTTTATTAAATAGAATAAATAATACGGACGTATTGATTTTAACACCTACTCATTACGCCTGTTTGGGCACATTCATAGACATTTTTAATATCATCTTCTTCTTCTTCTTTTCCTTCGCCTTCATTTCAACTATTTGGATTCGGCCGCTCTTATCGTGAACTTCTACTTGACCCGATCCCCCACATCATCTTCGCATGTACCCGCCGTCCTCATCTCATTCTCAATCTCATCCAACCACCTCTTTTTCGATCTTTCCCACTCCTCTTTCTTCCTATATTTACTTTAATTGCATTTCTCACTGATACCTTTAATATACATATAATCTAACATTTGATTACGTTATTATCCTGATTACTGTTACTTTATATTTTTTAATTTTCTATATTGATATCGAAAATATACTGGCTATATGGCCTCAAATACCTCCTCTTAACCGTTTCTTTTGGAACGTAGCTTAAAATTTAAAAACACGGAAGTGACCTATCCATATCTTTAATATCTATGATTTTAATAATAGAAAAACGATTTTGTTGTGTTGTATTTTAAGAATCTAAATAATACGGTGCAGTAGTTTAATCGCGTAGCACAAAGCGATTGTATAACATAATAATAATATGAGATGATGTGTTAAACTTTATCAAAGCCAAATTGTTTATTGTCGAAATAAGTGTACATACAATTTTACTAAAACGGTGTCATTTTCGGGTTTATTAATTTATATATATACGTTGAATATTTCACCTTTAATTTATTCTGTTTCTCAAAAAATGTATAAAATGTACACTTTTGCTACAAAATCAAAATCAAAATTTTCTATTTAATGTATTATTTTAAATACGAGTAGTATTTATTGGTCAAACTAATTGTAAGTTAATAGCTGTAGGTGGGTTATAACTTTATAAGGTTATAAGTTATAACTAATAATATACATGGTGCCCACGATGATCTGTCATTTGAAATAACTTTTGTTCAATTCAATATTTTTTTTTTTTGAAATAATGAGTATGCTTCTGCGCTACAGTTTATATATAAACAATTTTTTTAGGCGGAGGCGAACTTAAAATAAAAAATTTTAAATTTTACTATAATTTTTTCAAACAAATTTAAAATAGTCATTTTGTAAAATAGATTATTAAAATATTTTTGGTGGTTAAAACTTTTGTTAAAATAAAATCTTTTATTTTCTACTATTTTTTTAAAATTTAAATAAATTTTGTTTCAGTCATAACAATGTTGTTTATCAAGATGAATGACCATTTACTTATTACCTAATACCCATAATATGATAGTATTATTGCATGATATTAACTCATGGAACAGAAAATTCTTGTCATGTGCCCTGATTAATAACTTATTAAATATTGTAATGGAGTAATCACAACAGGTTATATCCATATTTGCAAAAACTTCAAAAAACCGTAAAAAATTAAAGACCATACTTTAACAAAAGTTTTAAACACCAAAAATTGTCTAAAAATCTATTTTACAAACTGGCTATTTTAAATTTATTTGAAAAGATTATAGTAAAATTTAAAATGTTTTATTTTAAATCCCCCTCCGCCTAAAAAAAAAAAAAAATATCCATACATAAACTGTAACGCAGAGGCATATTCATTGTTTAAAAAAAAAAATATATTCAACATATTGAATAGAACAAAAGTTATTTCAATTAGCAGATCATTGTGGGACCCCCTGTATAACCCAGAACCTTACCTATTTAATATATTGAATTATTCTTATTATTATTTTTTTTCAAAGTAATAATAATTTAAAATATTATATTCTTTTTATTGGAGTATTATTATTTTGTCGCTATATTTAACTTATTTTTTTTCTTAATTTATATAATAATGTATATAATTTTGTTTTCTATTTAATTCCAATATTATAAAACATGTATAATTATTATACTCAAACAATTTTTTTCTTGTTTTGTTTGTAAATGTAGAAAAAATATGTGCCTATATTAAACCTAGTCATGTATTTCAGAAAGAGAAATTATAACTTGCCAATTCGGTTAAATTTTAATCAATATTATAATATCAGTATTTTAACAAAACGATTTTCGGTTTATGTTTGCAATTTATTTAATTATATCGAAAATTAGATATCTATTTTAATTGTCTATAGGTTAAAGTACTTATAATTCTACAGTTTTTCAGCTTTGTACAAAAATCAGATAGTTTCTGGAAATCCAGTATAGAAAAAAAAAACACAAATTGTATTTCGTAAATAATATTGAGGGTTACTTGGGCATTAAATATTTATTCCAATCTTACTTCTAGCATTGGCTTCGTGTAAAAATAACGAAAGTATTTCATATACCTATTGTTTATATGCCCTGGCAGATGAGTAATTCGTGGTCAACTTTAAGATTTTTCTGTTCTCTAACCAATTTTCACTTTTAAATTAAAATACAATATTTAAATGCCATGAAAATATGTATACGAATTTCTTTGTAAGAAATAAAAACCGAAATATCTATAAATGAAGGGCAATATTCGTGTGAAATAAAATTACTTCTTTCTTTGTCAATCGTAATATTTTGTGAATTTGCCACTGTAGTCTACTCGTATACAATATTGAAATCACTGGCGCGAAAAATTGTATTAAACCTCTTTTTATAATATCTACCTAATTAATATTTCAAAAACACTTTTGATGATGTCTTGAGGATATTATCATCTGAAAATAGTATTGCGAGTGTTTTGTCTCTGAAACCGATTTAAAATGTATTTTCGTTTGTTTTACGTGAACACATTTTTGTTTTGTTGCCTGTTAAAAAGACAAATACGGTAAACGCCACTGTGGTGGCTTCTAAACAGAGGGAAACCGTGTTTGTCAATATAAGTTAGATATTTTTATAAAGAATGAACATATTTTTTTTTCTCAGTCGATTTCTCATGCTACAATGTTGGAGAATCTCAAATTAAACGTTCTTTCGTCGTTTTCAGACCAAACTCGCGAATACCGTCAATATTCAATGTAATTCGATTAGGTATGAAAATTTACCGATGACAGTATTATAACACAGTATAGTATTAGTCTATAGACATCGGTTAACACAGTATTTTTAATGTCAAACCCAGTAAAAAAAAATAAATGAGTAATATCAAAATATTTAAAATTATACCTCTCTAATACGCATCTTTAATTTAATTTGATTTATGATACTTTTTAACGCTACGCCGTATTGAAGGAAAACCGCTAGCCCTAATACTAATTTGTTTCTCACGTTGCTAAATATTACTGACCACAGTACCTCTCGGGACACTGTAAATTAATTACCAAGTCAATAAGCATCACTGTTCAAAATTAAATTAGTGAAAATCCCATCGACATGTTTTCGGTGATTTCCTAGTTTTAGATGATACAGAAACAGCTGGAGATACGTCTGCTTAATAATATTACAAGTTTCACTTATAATAAAAATACAAATATGGCAACATTTTTTTAAATACATATAAAGTAAAAAGTTTTACCAACCGTCTTCATTTTTATAAAACTAATTGATTTAACACTTTTATTCGGTCTATTTACATAAACTGAACAAAAATTGCTTCAAAAAGCACGCCTAGTGTTTTTTGACGAGAGTAAAATTTTTGGCGGAATAGTTGTTAATGGATGTACACAAAATAAATAAAAAATTAGCACCGATCAGAGTAAAACCAATATATTCCTGGCTATGTTCAGAATCTAAATTTGCCAGAAAACTATTTTTAATGTATACTTTTTAACGTTTTTATAGTTTCTAATATTTTCACATTTTAAAAAAAAAAAAAAAAAAAAACATTTTTCCCGAAACCCAGTTTTGTCTAAGGTTTTTTTTTACTACAATTTTGTGCGGCGTTTTTATAGGGACAAAGTTAATGTTATTACGGCAACTAATGTATTAAAGAATCATATATTGTGGATTTAGTTCAATAGCCAAATATTAAAAACAATTTAAGGTTAAAAATGTTGAATAGTTATAATTCCTTTGCATTATAAAATAACAGTGGCATACCCAGAGGAAGAGATGTGTGGGCTTCAGCCTCCCCTGTATTGGCCGTGTCAAGTATAGGTCAGAGGACAAAATGTTTTCACTTTTTTATGCATTTCTGCATTTTTGTTACTACCGGAAAGGAACTTCTCGAGCCCATTCACCTCTCTCAAAAATCATACAAGAGGAATGTTGGCCAATACGTGTGAATCACGAAAATACGCTAAAAAAATATATGCGTATTTCGTATATTATTATATATATATTATTTACGTTTAATCAGCGGCGGATTTAAAGATTTCTTTCTGTGGACAAGTCGTATAACACTACAGGCGGTATTTCTTGAAATTGCTTTTTTTCCGTTACTGTACATGTATAGTACATAACATTTTCATATATTCATCTGTAATGGGATAAAAAAAAAAAAAAAAAGGTAATTTAAAAAATATCGTTGCATATTATAAAGTTTTAATTTTTACGGAAGTCGAGGAAATATAATAATATTACGTGCGCACATTTTGTATTTGTATTCTGGCTGTCAGATAGTTGGATTTAATTTTCAGTACAAATAAAAATGTATTAAAAAAAGTTACATTTACTGAACAATAAATATAATATTAAATTCTCAGATAAAAATGACGTCCTAGAATAATGGGGTCGTGTGCAGTCAGTGATATAGGTAATTTAATGTATATCTGTAAGCAACGAAAAAACGATTGCTAACGAAAAAACTATTCTGAGCGCAGTTCAGTTAATAGTGATGCGTTGTAAACAATATATATATATATATATGTCATATTGTGGTATAATAATTAAATAGGTATTAAATATTTTCTTTAATAATATTTGTTGATTATTGTACAGATTTTCCCGTTTTTCGCAGATTTCCCCGTTTGCTGGAAGAAACTCCTGAGAAAATCTAAAAATGACTTTCCTAAGGTACCACGGAGATAATATTTACTTTCAGAAAATTAGGAACATTTGATACATCGGAGCAAGATTTTTGGTATAAAAGTTTACATGACAAATCGAGGGGTATTTTATGATTAAAATAGTCCGAGCGAACGATAGATTGGGTCCCAAGTACACCCAAAATGCATTTTTGTTTTCCTTGTTTAGGTAATATAGGAAAAAATGCAAACATTTTTTTTTTTTTTGAAACACGGGTTCGAACTCACGAACCTTAGGATGAAAATAGGTATGTATTCAGCTACATGAAGATGACAATATTTAGTTATTTAACATAACATATAATATCTGCATAATATCAAAACATCAAAAAAGCTATAATTTCGAAACTGAGTCAGTTCGTTCAATTATGATTTCACCATCATTCTTAAATCGTCAATATAGATATGTTCAAAAAAAAAAAAAAAATTGAAAAATTAGATTTGTTCTACATAATATTTTACTCAACGAATTTTGTCAAAATTTAATACTTCAACATTTCTTTACTACATACTACATTAAATTCAAATTTTATTTTTCTTTTATCTTTCATTAATATTATTCAATAATTCGTAAGTGTTCACTTAATTTATTTATTTGTTGTCGACTGTCAAATCATTCCATAACAATATTATTTTTGATCAAACATACTCCCAGAAATCCTCCATTGGTGTTTTCATATTGAAGAAAATCTATTGGAATAGATATTTAAAATTGTTTTAGTGTTTATACTTATATATACATATATAGGTATTTAACCCCTAAATAAGGGCTGATACAGGGTTATTGGTGTTTTCATTTAGTACGAAAATCTAATTATCGGTATTTATTGATTACCTTGGTGATAGGGATGCTAACTTATCTACTATTGCTTTTGGCACAAGTCAAACGAAACAGTTAGTATTAAAATGAACTAGACTTGAATAAATGATTTTACACAATTTTGAGATTACTTTTATTTAACTAAGTTAATAAATTAACTAATAAATAAACCGATTTATCACTTTTAATATATTTACTGCAAGTTAATTGAAAATAAATTAACTTGATATAACTGAGTTAATATTATGTATTAACTTGCCTAGTTTCAAAGGTTATGTTGCTTGTAAGTACAATAATAAAAGAAAAACAAAATATGAAATCCGTTATCGCGGGAGGAATTGAAATATTTAAGATAAATAACGTTCTCTGTGTAATTTTCTGTCGATAAATTCTGATTACGGATTATAATAATTTCGGGTGACGATGCATTGACTTCAAAAAAAAAATAATAATAATAATAAAAACTGCTACAATAAAGAATAATAATACAAGTTAAACGTATTGTTATACAACTATTTTTTATTTACAACGTATACATTTTTATAATATTAGTTCCTAAATGCACGACGTAATATTTATCGTTCAATTTACAGCGATGTATAATACCTATGAGTATAATAGTAATTGCTAATAGCGCTGTTATGAAAACAAATCATCGTCTGGCTAAATGAGAAAAACATAAAAAAAAACAATAGGCAGGTAATATAATAATTTCGACAAACGGTATCATAATAATTTTTTAAATTTCCGACGGATTAACGGGTAGGCAAGAGTCCCGCGTTTTTCAATATCGTGTAGATTTTCTCCCTCGGGATTTTCTCCGTTTCCCGATCGACGGCGTGCTGTTCGCCGGGTCCGAACCAACTGTCTTTGGCCAGGGTTGCAGCAATCTTCGGGTTTTTGTAGAAAACACTTTGCATTTGCGGTGGCAAGAGTGCTTCCCGCTGAAACGCGGCCACCACGATGGGGTTCGTCGGCCTTCCGATGGAGTTGATCTGCGGTAGACAATACGAACAACCACATATTATTATTTTTCATTTTAACGTAAATTTATATAGGCGATAATAATAATAAGGTTGGCATCATAGTGATTACAAAAGTAATAGCTAAAAAAAAATTACCACGTTTTCGGTGTAAAATTCTAACTTAAAAGTGGGCATACTAGGAATTTCGGTTGATTTTTACACCAGAACACAAACAAACAAAAATATTATGTACCAAGTTACAATCCGTAGTACAGTTGAGCTTTTTAGCAAGATAATCCAACTCAATTTTGCACACCAATACAAACATCAACTACAATAGAAACTAAATTCGGACATACCAATTATACACCGTTAGTAGGAAACTGTTGTAGGGGAGACGTTGGAAGATAATATAGGATAATAGATATACAAGGTAATTTAAAAATAATTCTGACTGAAGCTAAGTAATCTGGGCATTCACGGTTTTACCCTTGTAACCAAAAGTAACCCTGAGCTCAATACAAATAAAAACCGATCTATCGTAATTTGTTGTATTTTTTTTTAATTTTCGAAAACAAAACGTTAGAATCTAGAAAAATTGTGGAAATAAAATACTGCCAGTTGAAAATCCCGCATCTTCTCAGAAACCGCGTGAAAAAATCGGATCATTATTACTAACCGAAAAACGTTTTCCGAGAAAAATAGCGCTCACATATTTGTAAAACGAATAGCTTTTTTCAGAACAGAATCGCTATTGTATGTCAAGCTCAAGTCGAGATATGTCAATGGCGTGCCGTGAAATCTATCCTCGACGTTTAATACCGACGATTGTTAATCGCTAGATCGTAAACATCGATATCAATAATATTATTAGACGCTGGTAACAATTAACCTTCTAATATTAATATGGTATAAATAATGTGACGCTTAGTCGATAACAATTTTCGAGCACAACATATTACAGATGGGTACGAGATGAGCAATCAGAAAATTACGTTATTATGAAATTGTATACAATATCCAGGCGCAGAATGACTGAGGTGTACGGCATCTAATGGCCTACAATTTATTTGCTCCAATCGGTATAAATTCACCTTAATCGATCTACTTAAAATCAATATGATTTTTTAATAAGAAAGTCATCTAACTGCCAATAATTCTCTGATAATATAATAGAAGTTATTAGATATATTAACCGAGTAAATAGATTATATACAGGTAAATTGTTTACAACAATTCAATACAATTATCATTGATTATTTTGCATTACATAATATACACTTTCTAGATGTGATGTTATTTTTAAATCTTGTGCCAGCGCTATTTGAAATTTTCGAGCGTTTTTTTTTTTTTTAATTTTTATGCAGATTTCAATCAATTTTAGCAATGTTGTGATTTATTTTTATCGATATTTCATGTTAAAATTATTCGTTAAAAGCAAAAACAAATGTAATTTATTGCGCAGTTATAAAACTATACGCAATTTCAAATATAGATTTGTTGGAACCTAACTTGTTTATTCAGACATTTCAGAGTCGTTTTTCGTTTGCATTGATTTATCACTGTGTACAAATATAAACTAAATTATCCTACATGTATATCTTACGTTACCAACTTGGCAACTTATAAAAGTGACTCGCTATTGGTACGAAGTATGTAGGCTTTTAAACATTTTTTTTTATTATTATAATTTTTCATAATGATTGTTGATAATTGGTCAAAAATTATGTAGCATCCCATGCCTTTTTTTACTAATCCACGTCTGATAATATTTATATAATATTGTGGGGTTTGAATAGTAGCGACACGCAGGAACAATGGAAATAACACGCGGCGTTTCCCGACTGACAAATATTGGTAATTTATCAATATGCGGGCAAATATTAGTATATTACCATATTGTTTTAACGGGAATACTAAATATAGGTATATACCTAATACTTGTACTCTACTCTCGTTTCTCTAATGACGTCATTGAATTAATAAACGGTTCCAATTAACATTCAATGCCGAGTTTAATCTCACCGAAAATACGTGGAAATTGCAAAATATCATAAATATTTATAGTAAATAAATATAGAAATAAAAAAGACACGTGATAGGATAATGGAGAAGGGTGTAGCCACTGTTATAGGTAATTTAATGTATATCTGTAAGCAACGATATACCATTTGTAACGAAAAAACGATTCTGAGCGCAGTTCAATTGATATGCACCGTAAACAATATATATTTCATACTATAGTAAAATAATTAAATAGGCATTAAATATTTTCTTTAATAATATTTGTTATTACTGATTTTCCCAATTTTCCCATGTTTTTTCCTGGTTTTTCACATTTGCGGGGAAAACTCTTGGAAAATCGAAAAATGACCTGCTTAAATTATCATGGAAATAAAATTTCCTTTCAGAAAATAAGCTACACTTGATATATCAGAGCATGATTACTGGTAGAAAAGTCTGCATAATAAATCGAGGGGTATTTGTAAATTAAAATAGTCCGAGCGAGCGATAGCTTGGTATCTAGGTACACCTAAAATGCATTTGTTTTTTCCCTGTTTAAGTTAAAGGAAAAACATAGGTGCAAACATTTTTTTTCAAAACACGGGTATGAACTCGTAAACTTTTTTTTGACCACCAAAATAAAAGTCCTAATGAACCTCCTGTTAAATATTCAATAATTTCTGTTAAGTCAAACAATTTCACAATAGAGTATCTACCGAATAAAAATTACGTACAAAACTCGCAAAATTAAAACGTCTATAAATAGCCCGAAAATGGCATAAAAATTTCACCACATCTAGAAAAGGCAAATATAAGATTTTTGTCCAAATATCAAGTCTCTATCAATATTTTAACTGAATTACAATAAATAACAATATTGAAAAATAATAGAAACATTTTTTTTGTGAATTTCCCGTTTTTCTTACGTTTTATCCGGGTTTTCCCAGATATTATAAAAACCGTTTGGAAAACCAAAAAATGACCCCCAAAAGTACCATCTAGACAACATTTCCTTCCAAATATGGTGCCGCGCATTTAAATCCGAGCAAGATTTCTGATAGAATTTTTGTACACAGGATGAAAAAGAAAAAGAGAATAGAAAAAAATAATAATCATCTTTGTAAAACCAATACATTCTTTGCTACACTCAGAATCTAAAATGTATATATATAGAAATAAAAAATGAATAAGTTAATTGAAGCGTCGCATCGAGTATTATGATAAGTATTATGATAAGTGAATTAGGTGACCGGTTTCGAATTGAAAATACACCATCAAGTATATCACAGTCAAAATGTAAAACGCAAATATTATTGTGCTTTTTTTATAGGGCCCGGGTGAAAATGAAATCCTTTTATCACCATATAAGACGACATATATTTTATATACACATATCAGATTATTTGATAATATCGATGATTAAAAAAATAAATAAAACATTCGTTGATCGGATATTATTGTTGCTACCGATTAACCAGGTATTTCGACAGTATCGACAGTACACTAACCTTTACAATTTTCTTTTTAAACTAAATATCTAGAAAATTAATTATCTTTAGATAGTATTTCGAACTACTTAAAATTCTAATTATTAAGTCGTAAAATGTACAAATGTTCATTAAAACTAATGAAATAACCGGAAAATAAAAATGTCACCTTTCAAGTATCTGTTACATGAAACGAATTGTGTAACAGAAAACATTGTTCAAGATCGGATCACCTAAAATATGTCTTCGAAACCTAAGTTTTGATTATAATATATAAAAATTATCAACGAAACAAACAATATTGCAAAACTAAAACGATTCCGACGGTTTAATTATTTCAAAACTGTTAAATGATAAAATACATATTCGCATAATGACGTTTATAAAAATGAAAATTTAAATATTCTCATATTTGTTTTATTTGTTGATTATTTCAGATTTACATTTTACCTAACTATCCTACATCAAGTTTATTCGTTATGGCGTGCTGGATCGATATTGTATAACGATACACGGTCAACATTACGCTAACAGGTCTTTTTTTAAATTTAATTAAATTCCAATTGAATATTTTTTTTTTTATCTCGTATATACTCGCAATAGCACACAAGTATGTGTGTGTAAGCGTGTGATGTCTGTAATGGAATTCAATTTAATACGAATTCGCATTTAAAATCTGTACCACGGTTCGAATAAACAGTTTGTTAGATTCTAAACGTAGTGATGAGGAATAAAATGCTTTTGCAATTATTTGTTTAAGTGTTTTTTTTTTTCGTCCAGAAATCAGAAATATTTTCAATATCAGGGAGATCATTATTCGGCATTCCTTATTGTACTTTTCTAAATAATTGGGGGAAAACGTCGGTAAATCTAGAAAATATTTCCGCAATAACAGTCGGTCATGTTTATTAAATAATACGACAACAGTTTACGGGTAAACTACTGTTGTAGGCGGATAGTTGGTGAATAAATTATTGAAAACGAAAAACTATTACTAGCGGAGTAGTATTATATCCCTTGTCAAAAAGGCATTTCATGAAATCAATAAACACTGTTCTTTTCATCTGAATTATTAAAAAGACTGCAAAAAAACACAAAAAACTACTCATCTATTCATTTCCTCCACTAGATTCAAAATTATTCAAGAAATTTCCAATAAAGTTTTTAATTGGGATCATGTGTCCATATTTCTGGTTGAAATGTTGTTAAAAGAAAAAAAATTATCAAAAAATATATCATAGTAAAACCAATGTATTCGTCGCTGTGCTCAGAATCAATAAGAATCTATAAAAAACTTAAATCTACTTGTAATAAAGAAAATAAATCATAATACTCAAAGTAAAGAGTTTTAAGTATCAGGATATTAAGAACGGTAGCTTTCATGAGCATGTGAGACATAAAATTAAGTGTGATTGGATAAAGTAGAAAAAATTAAAGGAGTTTATCTGACAAGAGAATACAAACTTAAGGTTTAGCGAGACTGTCTGTGTGTTATGGTTCAGAGTGTGAGTAGTGTGACATATTACTCCATTGTCATCCATATTACTAAATGTGCGACTAAACTTGACAAATTACAAAAATACCTATTTATCGATATAGATTAGATATCAATTAATAATGACCTATAAACCATCGTGTTGTAGGTGTTTTTAGGTCTGGTACATTCAAAATCATAATTCCAAATATGCTGTAGCGATGCCGTTTAATATGAAATACATATTTAAATTGTGTTTCAGACGGATATTTAGAATAATTGGCTTCACTTTATCCCAAGGAAACCGTTTTAGATCAACGTCGTATTTTCACCATTAACCTCTAACACAGGTCACTAAAAAAATTAACGTTCGAGTGACCGTGAACGAAAACAAAATACTTAAAGTAGCGAAAAATGCAATAAAAATAGAAATCACAATCGGGATTAAAATCTGTGTGCATTCGTCCATTCAAATATTAATTGTAAAATACCTATAGATAAAATATTATCTTATAATAAACTATAAAATAAAAATCGATTATTTGTCCGGAGCATTATTATGTTTTCGTTTGATACATTAATAATACTTTTACCGAAGTTAAATTTTTACGTTTGGTAAACCATATGTTTTGTACTACGAATAGAGTGAACGGACGCAATGATGTTTCAGTAGATTATAGTTTGGTGTGGATTTTCCGTATTGGACAAGCGCATTACGACAGTAATCCGGAAAACAATTTTAAGACTAGATGACGATGAATATAAGATTTGACTCAAATAAACAAACAAATAGTTTCGGAAAGTGAAATTAAATAAAAACGTGTAAGTAGTTAACTATGTACATTTTAGGTTTACCTTATAAACGACGAATTATATGAAAATTGTATTGCTGTATATTATATTCTGGAGTCATCGCAACGAAAACCCGGCGAAAAATGACACGATATGCTCTGATGCCTATCACACGCAATTACAGGTTTTTTTTTTTTTTTAATTTGCAGAAAACGCGCGCACCGTGGAACGGAATGATAAGGGCGCTGTGTTATTATTTTTATTATAATTTATTGATGTAACTATGTAAGAACGTAATGCACTAATTCTTCGCTTTGGACAGTTCTTTTCCAATGCTGCAGATTTACCTATAATGTCAAAAAGCATGTGCATTTTCAGTGGTAGATATCGAGAGGGGGAGTCGATTTATGGATTGCCCCTTTGGGTTTTTTGTCACCACTCCATATTTGTACGTACAATTTAATGCCTAAGCGATATTCTACTCCATTACCTCTTTGAATATGAAATTCGGCTTCAGGACTGAGATATATCCACCGCATACATTGAGCACAGATGTATAAAGCGAATAATTAAATCTATGATGAGTAATTCTGTAGTTTATTGGTACAAAAAGAGGAAGAACTGTATTGATTAATCCATGTTAAATTTGTTTATGTCACGAATTACGTAAAGATATAAAAACAATTTGAAATTAATCAAAAATTGTCTCTAAATCACATAATTCATGGGTTAATCAATAATACAATTTTCTCTCTTAGTGCATGGCTGCTGACTTCATAAATCTCTATAGAAATCATTCATACCGTCAGTTATCCAAAGTGATTATTTTGTACATATGTGGCATCAGGAGCGGTTGAACCCTACAATGTCACATTAGTGAATAATAAATACTAAAAATATTTTGAATTTTTATGTAACAATGCACGTACAAAATAACCGTTAAAATGTCAAAAATAATAAGGAAACCGTATTCAATCGTCTTAAAACTCTCGTTAATATGTAAGTACTGTTCATTACTAAAACACTCGACATAATATTTAACCAACTGACTAAATAAAAGGCTTTCCAAATGTATAGATTATTATTATAATTAAATAAAATATTTTTATTTTCATTTTTCAAACTTTAATTTAATCTTCTCCTCTCTAAAAATGTTATTCTTGTATTATAATGTAATTTTGCGTCAATACAGCTCGAGTTTGGTACTAATATTTTTCGAAATTCCTAGTACTTTTCTTTTAATAACAGAGAAAAATCAATCTGTAACATGCAGACAAATTTTAACGGGGATCACTCAATACTCGGATTTTGTATTATTTAAACTTCTATATAGTGGCTCACATATTTTCAATTTCAAAATTGATTTTTCATTTTTAGAACAATATGTGGGTAGGTTATATGTATTTTTTCGATCGTCACTTGTGTCCTTACCGATGGATTTATGGCGTTGATTAATTGTTGTTGTTGTTGTTGTTGTTGTTGTTGTTGTTGTTGTTGTTGTTGAAGTTGTTGGGGTGGCGGCAGCAGAGTCAGCGACAATTGAGGTCGTGCCGACGCTAAAGCCACACACGTGACCAGCGCAATCGCTGAGCAAACAAGACTTTTGTGACACGTCATTTTACTGATCTGTATTTATTTTATATATTTTTCTGCAAATCAAAAATATAAAAGAAAAAAAATTAAGTACTCAAAGTTCGTATTTTTTTTTTTTTCATTTAATAATATGATCGCCGTGTTCCCGATTATTATACTGCCGGACGTACAAATATTGTCCGCGCTACCGGAAGTCACCCTTCCGTCTTCCGGTCGTCGTCATACCGGGCCCCGTACAAGTGAACCGGAATTCCGGAGAGATGACGTTTTCAACGGCAGCAAAGAACTTTATACTCACGTCCCACAAAAAAAGCTCTGCATGAATAATATTTCGTTCCACTATTATACAACAGGTAGTCAGGTAGTAAAAGCTGTTAAACTGTTTTCAGATGTTCTTAAAAATCGCAGCCTGAATAGAAGTAAATTATAATTTGAGTTAAATATATGTCTTATTTCTTTCGCTCAACATAAAATCCAGCAGTGTCGTATTGCTGTACAGTATGCTATGCCGCAGCGATTAAAGTTATAAAGACAGACTTACTTCACACGTGGGTGAACCACTGTTGTAGGTGAAAAGTTAAGAAGGTAGGGGGGGAGGAATTGAATGTAAATCTGTATACAACGATTTATCATTGTTAAAGAAAAACGATTCTAAGCGGAGTTTAGTTAGTAGTGTTACTTTGTTAACAATATGTCATGCCATGGTAAAATAATTATATATACATTATATATTTCCTTTATAATAATATTTGTTTAATATTATACCTATTTTCCCGGTTTCCCGTGTTTTTTCCCATTTATTATGAAAACAGCAAGGAAAATCAAAAAAATGGCCTTCATAAAGTATCACTCCTTTTAGACAAATTTAAATTGGAGCGAAATTTCTGATAAAAAAGTTATACACAGGAAAGAAAAAATAAAAAATAAACATCATTGTAAAACCAATACATACCCACGCTCAGAATCTAAAATTTGAATTTAGAAAGGTCTAATTTTTTAATTTTTGGTAGTTTTGTGTCACTTTATTTAAATTATATTTGTCTATGTTCTAAATGTGTGTGATAGAACTGAAATTCAAAAATATATATTGTTTAATATTTTTTTCGTATACAACGGTTAATCTTTGCCTACAGATATATATATTAAATTTCCCTTCTACTACCTTCCCAACTTCTCACAATGGCTGCGCCCGTCCCCATTATCCTTAGACACAACTTTTTCAGTTTTTATATACAATTATAAATTCAATTATTCTATACGTCCTGTCTTCTCAACTGTCCGCCTATTTTTATTTTTTATAATATTTTAGATTCTAAGTGTAACGAAAAATGTATTGGTTTTACAAAGATGTTTAATTTTTTTTTTTTATCCTGTGTACAAAACTTCTACCAGAAATCTTACTCCGATATATATGATGCAAACCTTTTTCTGAAAGTAAATTTTCTTGTAGTTGTACTTAAGCAATTGTTTGATTTTCCTGGCAGTTTTTCCAGTAAAAGAAAAAAGTAAGAAAAACGCGAAATTTACGAACATAATACTTTTATTATTTGTTCAATTTTGTTATTAGTTGAAATTCACTTAACAATATTCGTAAAGATTTGAAATTTAGACAGAAAACTTATGTTTGATTTTTCTAGAAATGATCAAATTTTAAAAATATTAGAACCATTTATGAGCTACTCATAGACATTTTAATTTTGCGAGTTTATGCATAATTTTTATTTCGTAAGTGTGGATAAATTATTGGACTAAACAGAAATGAGTGAAAATTTAACGGGAGGTTTATTAAAAGTATTAATTTGTGGTAAAAAATAAAATTAGTTTGGTGTAATAATTTTTTATAATAAAAAATAAAATTTTAACGAAAACCGTTATGTAAAAAATTCAACTAATTTAATTTTTCAATTTTTTTTTTTTTTTTTGAATATTTGTATATTACCGATTTAAGAACAATGGTGAAGTCAGAATTGAGCGGACTGTCTAAATTTCGAAATTATATCTTCTTGAAGTTATGCGGATATTATATGACATGTTAAATAACTCTATATTGTATTATTAAAGAATTTTTGTCGTGAATCAGGGCGACATGTGGCCCACATCCTAGGGATCACGATTTCAAACCCAGTTTTCGAACTAAATTTTTTGCATTTTTTCCCTAGTTTTACCTAAACAAGAAAAAAACAAATAAATGTACCTAGAAACCGAAGCTATCGCCCACTCGGACTATTTTAATCGCAATATTAAACAAATATTATTAATGAAAACATAGAACGCCTAATTAATTATTTTATCATAATACATGACATATATATTGTTTGTCAAAGCATCATTATCAACTAAACTGTGCTCAGAATTGTTTTTTCGTTAGAAATTTCTTATCGTTGCTTACAGATATATAATAAATTGCCTACAGCAGTGGCTGCACCCGTCTCCATTATCCTAGGACTGGGAGTTTGTTTTTTTTTTTTTTTTTTTTTTTTGCTTATTTCGACGAATTTCTAACACGAAAAATGCCGATCTCTGATAAACAACAATGCAATCGTCGAAATTCTTATTCCGCTTGACGAACCTTGTTGTTTTCAAAACGACATATATTTACGTCACGAAATTTCGGGTACACCGAAGTTTCGGGCTCGAAAAACGATGACGTCGTACCCACGACCTACCTACCGTTAAATACTAAAGTTTATTTTCGATAAAATAATACAAAATGATAATGCGCGCCGGCCGTTCGCGGTCCGCGTTGTCGTGCGGCGACGGCCGAAACGACGTTTTGACACATTGACAGCGACTCCGGGCGACGGCGGCGCCTTTTGTTTTCGCGCGCCCGACGGCTATATACCGTTATTATTATTGCGGTATCATAATAGTCACGACTCCAAATAAATCAAATTGTCGCACGTGCCGATTTAATAATACATCGGTTGACGGCGGCGCATAGTTTCCGGTCAGGCGGTCCCGTCCCGAAACGAATGCTTGAAATTCCTGTAAACGGTTACCGTACATCCCGCCGTCACCCGTTTAGACGGACGGCCGTTCCTTGTTCGCCCGTTTAGGAAATTGGCGATACGCGGTCGCAATACCATCGCCGCAGGCCGCCGACGGCTTTACAACTTCGGCCGTTCATCATTATTGCCGTACAGGCCCGAGTAGAATACTGCGCGCATAGTACTCGCACAGTACTTCAAAAAATATCGGGTCCAGCTCGGACGGCTAACCCCGTAGACATTGTTCGACGATTTGTAAAATAATTATACATTATATTTCAACTGTTATTCCTGGTTCGTCGGAAGACGGCGAAAACCCGGGCATGATCCACGGTCGTTCGTTTCGGTAAACGAATTTCTTTCCAGTTTTTTCCCATCAGATCCGTTCACAAAGTCTATTCGATTCTCGTATAATGCTCGGAATCACCACCCGTGATAGGAACCGGAAAAATCTTAGTTTGTATAATCCACGTTTCGCCGAAGAGCAGTACAAAAACGGAATTATTAATATTTTGGTCTATCTGGTTTTTTTTTTTTTTTTGTTCAATTTTGGGTGGCTAATTTTCACAAATATTACGCTAGCCGTTAGATTGGGCCTCTCCCTCTTGTTCCGAATGTATTTTGAATATACAACAGGGCACGATTGAAAAACTCATAAAACTGTACGCGGTCCACGACAATCCACTATGTCCATTTGTGCTATTGTATGTATTATTAAATCGAATTTTATAGGTTAAGTCTGGTTTTCTTTTTGTACGAAATGACAATGTTTATAGTATATTATGTTCTGTTTATGGCGGGAGGAGGCGACGGAGCATTCAATATTATACGGATTGTTTGAATTTGGAAACACACCCAGTGTGAATTTCCAGACGACCTTGTACGCAAATACGGCGGAGTTGCTATATCAAAGTATCAAAGATCATTTTAATCAAAATCGCACCTAATTCCTTTAGATAGAGGTTTTTCTCTTTTAATTTACTGGACATTTTGCAAGCAAACGAAATTGCAAACAATATTATAATAACTGTTCCGTCCTTCACATCTCGTTGTCGTCGCGCTATTATCGTATTTTTGCGTAACGGCCGCCGCATGATAATATTATTGTGTTATTGTGTTTACTTTTTTTTTTTTTTAATTTACAGCAAATTACATCTGCAGTAACGTCATAATATCACTTGTAGATACAACGTGACGATAAAATGGATTGTGTGGTCAGCTGGAAATTCGTTCGATTGCGATAAACTGTATAGTCGCTAATGGTATATTTACAGTTTCCTTCTGGGGTTAATGTTCAGATAAAAAATGGGACGTCGAGTTGTTTCTCCGTTTCCTTTATTCATTTTGTTTCATTTACGTTTAGCCTTTTAAAATGTAGAGTCTAAATGTTTTTTACTGATAAAATACTTCAACAATTGTACGATAAATATTAGGAACCCATTCCATAGGTCAATATAACAATACATAAATACGTTTATATTATATAATTAGGTTTCCGAACCATTCTGCATTAAGAAGAATTGCACTACAATTGTTGGACGTTTGTCCTGTGCCAAAAAACACGTTAAACTTTATGTATAACAGTACTACAATTTAATAAAATAGACCTTATAGTTTAATGCAATTCTTTAATATTTTTAGAATTTTGAGCGCCACATGTAATTTTGAAAACCCGGTGCCCATAATCGATATCATATAACTTTTGATTGTGAGTACACTCAAGGCCACATTTAATGGGGTGAAATGGGTACGATTGCACCGATCGGCAGATTTTTGGGAATGGTTAATAATAATATTGAATTGAACTCAATAGCTGTTTTATATCTGTGGTGGATCTATAGACAATAAATAAATGTATTGGACGCTTCCAATTATTTGCTTGACTACAAAAGGAGTATCTCAATGATTTGAAACCGTCATTTATAAATAAATGCCTGCATTTTAGAGGGCATTTAAAATTGCTGTGTACACCAATTAGAAACTGTTCTACAGAAAGATCATTTTCCGACTGGGAGGTACTTTAAAGTAGTTTTTTTTTTTTTTTTCCTAGGATTTTCATGATATAAGAAGTAACGGGGAAAAAACGGAGCAAGTTAACTAGGAAAAAACGTGTCTATAGACTAAAACAAAGAAAAAAAATAAATAACATTGTAAAACCAATAGGGCCCTTGCTACGCTCGGAATCTAAAATTACAAAATGTGCTATTTTCAATTTTGATTTTTTGTTGTGATTCAGTTAAAAATATTCGTAGAAACTTGTGTTTACCTTTTCTAGACGTGTTAGAATATTCAAAATATTTGAGCTATTTATAGAAATTTTAATTTTTCGAGTTTTTATTTTATTTTTATTCAGTAGGCAAACTGTGAATAAAACTGTTTGACTAAACAAAAATGCTTGAAAATTTAACAGGAGATATATTATAAGTTATATTTAATAGAAAAAAAAATGCAACGTAATTATTTAGATTCTGAGCGGAGCGAGGAATGTATTTAAAATTTACTCCCATTTTGAATTATAGCACTTTTTCTGACAGAAAATTGTACTGGGGTAATACTTTAAACAGTTAATTGTTTGATTTTCCCGGCTGTTTTCATATAGAATGAGAAAAACAGGAATAAACGTAGGAAAACGGACAAATTTACCAAATTAATTAGTTTCGTATAATGTTTTAAATTGTTTGGGTTCTGTTTTCTTTTGTTTTGGTTCAGTTAAAATACTTGAAGTTGGACATAAAATTTATATTTGGCTTTTCTAGATGTGGTAAAATTTTCAAAACATTGTAGCCATTTTCGAGCATTTTATAAACATTTTAATTTTATGGGGTTTTTTTACATAATTTTTGTTCGGTATAATAGTCCGTGGATAAAATTGTTAGAACAAACAGAAATTCCAGAACATTTAATAGGTGGTTCAAATATAAGTCGTACATTGTGATCAAAGAAAAAATTAAGTTTAATGTAGAATTTTTTATATATATATATATAAGAATTTTAATATCAAATTTCTATGAAATTTGTGGAATATATTATGGCCTAATTTTTAAATAAATATTACTAAGCAATATTATTAATTTAACTCTGCTCAAAATCGTGTTTCGTTATCAATAATTAATCGTTAGTTATTTAATATGCATTAAATTTTCATCTATATCCTATCTTTCCATCTTCTCACGTACAACAGTGGCCCATCCATCGTGCGAAATATGTCCGTCTTTTTAAAGTCCATTTTTCCAGTTAATCTAAACGTTCATATCAATAACAATCGGTTGTCGTGGTCAAGATAGTACTATTCAAAAAACATTAAATACCGGACAACGATAATTGTCTGTGTTAAGGGTGTAAACGGGGAAATCACTAGGAGATACGTTTTATTTTTTATTTTTCCGTTCAATATATTTTCAGCTACCTCGGTAATGTTAGCCACTCCATCAATAGTATATATTATATACAATTCGTCACGCATAATATCCCAATAAATTGTGCAGCTCCCAAAGGTTCGCCGCACTAGGCAGCTGCCTATTTTGGTACCTCGTTGACCCAGTCCCACTTTAAAACGATTGTAATATTCGACTGTGCTAAAATGTGTACACTCTGTGAATAAAAATAATGTAATTCGTTTGCACACGATAGCAGATATAAACGATATTGCATCGCAGTGCATCTGTTATATAGCTTCGTCTTATTATATAACGAAATAAACACAAATAACATATATTTCACAGTCATGAATTATTAGTTTTGATTTGCAAACACGACAACAACTGTAGGAATGAAATTTAAACGTGTTTTTTTTTTCTTTACGCAATCACAAAACGTAAACACCTATATTATTTAGGGCGTAGGTATTAATATTATTTCTTGTACACAATTATTGCTTACATAATATAAGAATCGAGTAAGTATAGATAGCTACTAGTGGCCACTGCAGTTTAGTCTAAAAAGGTCATTACGGTCGCAATTTCAGTGTGTAACGTAACGATGAATCCGCACAATGATCGCGGCTATAATCAAATGCAAAAATGATTTTTTCGAACGTACTGAACCAAAAACAAAAGTAATTACTCACAAATAGACATGCACCGTTTCATCGCACGGGCATCCTGTTAGACAACAACAGGTTTCTTCTCGTGTGCTGCACGCAGATATCCTATACGGAACAGCAAGGGTCTTCAGCAGTACGATCAAATTCATTACGTTCGTTCTACGTAAGATCCGTAAGCTAAATCGTAATAATTCGGCAATTGTTATATAATGTACGAATGTGAACGGCCACATAGGTACTCTTTAAACGTGCCGAAATAATAAAAAATTCCGGAATTCGCGTACGGTTGTGTTTGATTGCACACGCGGTAATAGGCGATAATAACACAGATTCTGTACTTTCATACATCATGATCACGAATAATATCCCTCTTCGCGTCGTTACAATCTGACCCGGTGGCGGCGTGCAAAAATATACACATTTCTGTAATTCAATTTATATTTGGTTTTTTTTGTTTTATTATTATTATTATTATTATTATTATTAATCAATATTGTCTCGTGATTAGGATCAACGTATAACAGATTAAAAAAATGCACAAAGAAAACATTTTAATTTTCTTATTTTACTGTATTAAGCGGTCATTGATCAATAGTATTCACTATCAAACCAAACAGAAATTAAATGCAAACATTTTTATTTTATTTTTTTTCAACCGCTTAATAATATAAAAACGACCAACATTGTCATTTACTGCATTTTAATATACAGCACATATAAAACTCATCGGAGAAATCGTTAATTGTTGCCAATCCCTTTTCTAACGAACCTAATATTTTTTTGTTTAATCATTTGGTTCACATCAAAATATTTCTGCTGCGATAGGTTTTTAACCATATTATATACATTTAATTTTTAACGAGTATTAGTTGAAAAAAAACGACAGATAACTTACGGTTAAAACGGCGTTACAGGCGTTTGTCGGCCGATGACTTTCTGGACCTAAACGGATAGAGGGAAAAAACCGTTAGTGACTATACGCGATACTGGGAACTTCACGGATATATTATACCTATAATAGTCGGCAGATGGACGGAAAAAAAAACACTTTCACTGTCGAAGGTTTGAGTCGGTTTGCCAGAAACCGTCGTCGTGCGAATACAATTATAACCTTCGTCCTACTTTCCACCACGCGCCGTACCTGACTGTAGCACAGATCGTACCACCGCCACTAATAATAATACAAATAAACTAAAAGAAAAAATGATAATAAATTATATCTCGACTACTATAACAACCACTCAGGAATGGCAAATGTTGGGCAACGACCTGTATAAACGCGTGTTATTCGATTACGAGCATCTTCGCATTTTCCTACACCGGTGGCGGATGATTTTGATGAAAAGGCCTGGGGACCGTTTCATACGCATGATAACTTCTCGAGAAAAAAATTCATATATTTTCATCTAATAATAAATACCCTTGAGCAACAGAGCTTCGTCACTAAAGTCGAATGGGAATTCGACTCTTCCTCTTTCTCCCCATCCGTCTTGATTACGTAATTTAATTTAGTAGGTATGTATAGTCTGTTGTAATAGGGTTCAAAACACGGCACTATCTGTACAAATTTAAAATTGAGCATAAAATAGGGGAGATTCTTGAGGGTGGTTTTGAAACCTCCAAAAAGTAATTTTTGGTACGAACGCAATATAGACCGAAAATATCATCCCCTGAGCTTAATTGGTGTCTGTAAAGGGAAACGAGTCTAAAAACACTCTCTACTTGCAAAAACGTGCTTAGATTAAAACTGAAATTCAATTCAACTTTTATCACTTAAATCCATCCGTTTAACAACTCTAATTCCCGAGTTTAACTTTATTAAGTCTAAAAAGAGCCGCTAAAATTGTCCAAGTAATGAAAAAAATATATAGTATGGATAGATATATAGAATACAGACATAATACAGTAAAATTTAATCTTTTTTTTGGTGGTGGTGGTGGTGGTCAATGGGGGAAGTTTAAACATCATGGTTTTTTAATTTCGGAATTCTATATGAAGGCGCATACTCGGTTTTTAAACTTTTTTTGATTCTCGAATTATACTGAAAAAACGACATAAGTTATCTGACATAACCAGTTAACTGAACCTCAAAACCATTTTTTGATTCTGAGGACTCGTCGTAGCACAAAGTATAAAACACTATGAATAATGTATATCAACAAAACCACCTCTATATCCTAACTTTTCACCGTCGAAGACTTGACAAGATTATAATATGAACACCGCCGTAAATGTATTTCAGACCTTTAATGGAATACAAGGATGGGCAGTAGAAATTCGTTTATCGTTTATCAGCGTTTATCGGATGAATGACCCTTCGATTCGTGGACCCTTTGAATGTATTACGAAAATATTATACAATTTCCAGAAGACTTGATAATATCTTAATAGTTTAATTTTTGTTTCGTTTTAGTGATAATGCTTCATCCATCAAAACGGAAATTATTTCGTTTGAGCGGATTTTATTTCAAAATCGAAAACCTTTTTCTGACGTTAGAAATCGTCAAATTTTAAATTCTAAGCAGAGCGAGAATTTTTCATTTTTCGATTTTCCCAGTGGTTATCATGATAAATGAGGAGAAACGGGAAAATGTACTAAATGTATTATTTTCAAATCGTAAATATTACGATCTTCCCAAACATGTATAATCGAACTCCACTCAGAATCGTTTTTTATTAGCAATGATTAACATTTGCGTACAGATATACATTCAATTTTCTCTCTACCATCACACAGTGACTCGTCCATCGTGCGAAGTATGATATATCTATATTTGTTTTCAGGTATTAGGTTGCTCTGTTATAGTAACGCAAAAAAAAAGAATACGATAAATAATATTTAATATTAGCTATCCTAAAAATCTGCTAATCTAAAATCTGCTCTAAGCATATCCAGTTTTGTTTGCTTCCGATAAATATGATTCAGGTGGCTCTAGTGATTTAAGCGATTACTAATAGCACACGTTTCGCCGGATTGTTTAAGAAACTTTCGTCTTTGAATTAATTATTTTCCGTTGTGACTATACATAGTTGATTACACGAGATAAAGCCGAAATAAATATTAGCCTATTATTTTTCAAAATCAATCATGTGCAATTTATACGAGTTGTATAAAAAAAAGGTAATCGAACGAACTGAATAACATAAGGACACCTTTAACTACTGACGTTTATCTTGCACGTCCGTTAACCTAGCTATATTATGTTCTCTTGAGTTTCGCTAAACGTTTTGCTCAGAAACTTAGATGGAAATTAGGGTTGGGAAATTATAAATAATCGCCTCCTGTTGAAAGACGAATTTACTACTGTTTCGGGTTTACAACACTACTCGTCAATAATTTAAATCGGAGTTAGTCATCTGAGCGTGTTTCTATTTAATCGTAGGTCATTCGAGTACGATTTCGACGATCCATTCGAGCGCGCTATGTTTACGGTTTTTATCCAGGTAGATAATTTCCACAATCCAAATGTACGTGATTTTAAAATTATACACAAATATACAGCTGGATGACTGAATTTAGATTCCTTTTTAAGGAAATTATAGAGGGTGCTGAAAAAAATTATTTTGGATAAATTTCAAATGTTTAACATGGTGTTCGCCAATTCCAAGTGCAAGTGCAATACAAATGCCTTTTTTTTGAAAAGTGATACCATACAAACCAAACAAAAAAAAGTTGCGAGAATATGCATAACAAATAGAAGTTACTGTAGTGTTGGTTGGGTACACACTACAGTCATTAGTTTGAAAAGTTTTACATTTTAACAAAAAATGACCAACTCATATTTAAATTATTGACGAATTTTGAAGTAAATGCAAAACAGTAGTCATTTTGTAATCCGACGAGAGGCAATTATTTATACTTTAGTGGCCTTGATTTTCGTCAATGTCCCCGAATAAAACGTTAGCTACTGAAATGAATTGAACGAAACAAAATTAAAAACGTATTTCCCTATTTCCGCTCTCATCCATACCACAGTTAACCGTTGTTTCCCGGTAATTTTTTTAATTTTTAAGGAGTTTCTTTGCTGATTACAATCATATCATATCAAATTAATTTCATTGCTTAGCAAGTAAGAAAACACATGTTATTTTATGAATTGTGTAAGTAAAAATGACTTCCTAGGATAATGGGGACGGGTGCAGCCACTGTTATAGATAATTTAATGTATACCTGTACGCAACAATAAACCATTGCTTACGAAAAAACGATTCTGAGCGGACTTCAGTTGATGGTGCTTTTTCAACATAATTTATGTCGTTTTGTAGTAAATTAATTAAATAGATTTTATATATTTTCTTTAATAATATATGTTTAACATTAAATATAAAATCAAAAATAATGAAATCGTACATTTTACCGTTTATCCAACGTTTTTTGTGGTTTTCCCAATTATTAGGAACACTGCTTAGAAAATTACCTTCCACTAAATACATCCAAAATGAAACAAAACAAGGTTTTGTCATTTTTCGGCCGAAACAAGATTTCTGATAGAAAAGTTGTTTATAGACAGAAAAAAAAAAATAAGTACACCTCACAGCAATAGATAATGTATCTATCGCTCCATTCACAATCTAAAAATAGAAAAAACTATGTCTAGTAATGACTGGTGGTATACCAGTAGATAACTCGTAGTAAAAACCTGTTCTTATTACGTATTATTAGCGTGTGGTAATTTCTTCAGGCTACAATAAATTTCTAGTTTTTGTCGCAACACGCACGATGCTCTCATTCGACTTTCAAATAACTGGTCTACAGTATTATAAGTGTGATAATGATTTTTTTTCCGCCGAGCACGTTTTAAATTTACAACAAAAACGTCTGTATCGAACTTCAAACTTATGGAATAGATAAATGTTTTGATAAAAATCCTCAGTGTAAACGAATTTCGTCTAAAATCATACAAATCTAAGTAAACGTAATACGATACAGACAGGGGGGTTCACAAAAGTGTGTACGATTTTAATTACAACGCGTTACTGAATCGTTCAAATATGAAAACGATTCTGAATATAGAAATCAATGTTAAAATCATTTTAACGCTTTTTTGATTTAATACACTTCCAGCAAAATATTTATTTAGGTGTTTTTTTTTTTGTGATTTTCATGACATCGAACTAAAAAATTCGAAAGATAATGTGACCTCTGTAAAATCATCGTCCGTTTTTGGTTATTTAGTGATTAAAAATTAGCATTTTCCAGACTATTATTACTAACGGAATCGTGCATTAAATATATGCATATAGGAAAATATTATAACTTTAATACGAATTGTTACATAAATATTTAACATTATATGAGTATACAAAATATAATACATATTATTGGACAGGTATTTCGAAACAATCGAAATAAAACAATTTTACATCGTGACTTTCTTTTTGTAAATACCCACGACCGTATTTGGAAATTTTACGCTCCGGGGCAGCATATTTCCGCCACCCCTACACCCTCGAAAAAATGTCTTAAAATTTAAGGTATAGCTATATTGTTGAATACGATTTTGGTCCGTAGATAATTGAGCCAACAACCTACATATTATGCTACTCTCACTAATTGAATATTGGCAAATTAGAAATATATACAATATACACTATGTGTATATGCATGCGTGTTTAATTATTGTCAAATAAATTATGACCAACAATTATGATCACACAAATTTAAAAAAATATGTTATAATTTGCTATAGACTATAAATATTGATAATTCATATATTATAGTTACTTCCTAAATCTCTAGGAAAACCAATGTTAAATGAGAAAAATAATTAAAGAAAACGATGTATAATTTATGATTAATTATTGCATTTTGTATTAATAATTCAAATATTATATATTATATAATATATCTAAATAAATGTATAACTTTTTCCTTGACTGAAGGTTTGAGAATAAAATTATTATTCATAAATGGTATGTTAATAATACAATTTAAAATAATGTTAATATTATTGTCCGACAAATTAATGAAAACAATATACATTTGTGAGCTGTAATAATCGTTTTTAATAGAAGGTTTTTAAAATAATAATTAAAATTATGTAAACATATTATAAACATATTATTTTTTTCTACAAAATTAATGAATAAACCAATCAAAAACTGACCTTCCTTAAGCACCACCCCAGTCAGATTTCCTTTTAGAAAAAGTGTTATCATTGTAAATCGGAGCGAAATTGCTGGTAGAAAGTCGTTTACAGATAAAAAAAAAAAAAGAAATAAACACCATTGTAAAACCAATACATTCCTCACTCCTCTAAGAATCTAAAACTATGCAGGACATGCTGTATTATTCTCTAGTGCACTGGTTTTAACTCTTAATATAAGAAAATTTGATACGAAATTTTAAAATCAATTTTTAGGACATGTCTAGCCTGGATTTGACAACTTTTTGCTATAATAAAAAATAACTGCTTGTCTCGTTTGGAGATCAGAATAGTCCTGTATAGATTTTTGGGTCAGTTTATACTTATCGAAGTCGTGTGTAATTTTTTTTTTCTGTGTAAAATACATTTTCACGAGTGACCGAACCTCACACTCGGTCACTATAGCTGAGAAAAGCAATCATCATAATTCATAAACTTCTGCAGATGTAATAAAAATATATTTCCTTTACTATGTATGCAGTGTACATATATACGTTTTTTTTTTTTGTTTTTTTTGCTTCTCGGAAAGTAATTTACTTTCGAAATTCGGCCGAGCCAATAGATTTGGATTTTAGTTTTGTTTGACATAACCTTTTCGATACAATTACGCACAGTTTTAATAGTAATAAATGTCTTAATATTTTTAAAGTTTGAATTTGAATGCAATATTTTCTTTGGCAATTTCTTTAGGAAAATTTTAATTTTCTGAGTACTCGCATATCAAACATATTATGTTTGCGTGGATATTGTCAACCCGTTGTTATATTATTAAAAGAAGGAAGTGGATACTAGTCAATTTGCACTAATAACAATGTGTGTTCTTCCCTTCACTAGAATAACAACATTATATTCGACCAAATTAATTTTTTTTTTCAAGTTATACAACCACTCATACATGCAATAATAATTTTCATATTTTTGTTTGTTTGCTGTTATCCGCGAAGTCTGTCATTTTCCGTCGGGTTATTATAATATATCTAAAGTGTATATAAAACAAAATATTGTATAATGACGACCCGGTACCGGTTTTCTCGAGCGTTTCAAGGTTAATTCGTGATGTGTTTTGTTTGCAATTCAATATTGGTATACGATTCGTGACTGTAGTCGTCTTATGAACTCGACGCCCTCTCGAAGTTACAAAACACGATTACGACATTCAAAACGGTGGCGGTGGTCAACTCGACAACACAATAACATCGTGCGATCGCACTTTTTTTCTTTAAGAATGGATAAGCCGTGCATTTTGTTTTCAAATTACCGCCTTTATATAGATCAATTTAGGGATGGATCCAACAATTTTTCATGGAGGAAGAGGCAGAGTAGGATTTACGGCAAATTTATGTAAGCTGGCCTGCTATTCAGAGGAGTAAATACCGTTCCAGAGAGAATTTGGAGAGTGCGCGCCCCTTTGCCCCTCCCTTCGAACCCATGTCTTGGTAACAGTGGCGTGCTCAGCTTTTTTCTTTAAAATAACCTCCTTAAAGTACCACCCAAAGAAAATTTCCTTTCAGAAAAAAGTCTACATTGTATGCACCGGAGTAAGATTTCTGGTAGAATTTTTGTACACAGTATAAAAAAAATAAAATAAACATCTTTGTAAAACTAATACATTCTTCTCTACACTCGGAATGTAAAATATGAAATTATTAAAAATATTTAAGCAATTAGACGTGTGCATTAAAATAAGTTTTATTATAGTTTTGTTAAAAACTGAACAACTATACTAAATACTATTGATAATATATTAATATGACGTTGATCGCGTTTATAACCATAGGTATCGGAATATAATGGATTGAAATACTATGATAGTCCATTGATACCATTTGTTTATAATATGTATGAATTATCTATATATAATTACTTTTACTATAGTACCTACTAAACATATTTTATATATATGATAATATTTAACATGACAAAAAAAATTAAAACCAACTATGCACTACATTTTATTTTCCGAGAAAACCGAAACTACCGAAAAACTTGTAAAAAAATGTATAAAAAAAAATTCCATGGAGGTATAAGACACGCTCATTCCTCCCCTCCCCCCCCCCCTCGTGAGCACGCATTTGCTTGGTAGATTAGAACAAACGATCGTTATTTTTATGATTGCCATCGAAATTAAATAATTTTAATAGTTTAGTAGTTAGTGTTTGGTTTTTCGGTCAATTATAATATTGATAACGCGTAACGTATTTTAATCGTCCCGTCAATAATATACAATATTGTTATCATGTTGTTCGCAAAATGTATTTTGTGCATCCATTATACGGTTATAGAACAGTGGGTACAATGTGCGGATTCACAGTGATTTTATTTTGCGTATATATTATAATATTTATCCTGAAGATTAATTATTTTACTCGATTATAAAGTTTAACCAAACAGTAATTAAAACTTATGGCATTATTTATTTAAGAAGTTTTGGTTTATACACGATGCCGAGAATGCATACGAACGAACGGTTATAATAATTACAAATAACGTGTGTTGAAAAACGTTTATTATAATAATATTGTGTGCCTGCGGTTATGGAAATACGAAATACCGAAATTACGAACATCTGAATATTTTCACTACCTAGTTACAGCACAATCATATTTCGATTCGATAAAATCTTTTAGGTAATATTATAAGTGCTAAAGACCGTTTGTTAACTTTTTCACGGTTAAACAGATGAACCGACCAGGATAAAAATCCTGTGGCTTGCACCCTGAAATCGAGCATAATCTACTTTTCATCCCAAGATTTACCCTTGAGGTTGTTTGTCACTTGATTTTTTTTTTTTTTTATATATATATAGTTTGAAAACTGCACTTATATTTGTTTATTTCTGGTTTCTATTGATTACTCGGTTGAAACAGTCGTTTTATAAGAAATCATCCGTAAATTGCAGATCTCCATCACTTGAGTCGAATTTTCCAGATAGAGAAAGATATTCATAAAAGAGATGAGATGACATAGACTTTTGAAATACATTAAAATTAAATTAAAAACAATTGTGTGTACCTAAAATCATAAACGAAAAAATCAGACATGTCATCTCGGTAGAAGAAGGTGGGAAGATTAGGGGATATGGGTTACAGTAACGAACATTTAATTTGGTTCTGCGGTAAAAATTACATACGAAATTTAGTTTGATAATTTTCAAGATAATTTATTTGTATATACCTATGTTCAATAAAAAATTAAAAATCTAATATTTTATCTAACTCTTACTATAACTGAGCCTATAGACAAGGCAGAACGGCAGACAGAGATGAGAACATTCAGAATTGTTTATAGATATGTTGTAATTCGACTTCATAGTTCACCTTTACCTTAAAAGTAAAATAAAAAATTTGAAAAATATGTAAAAATAAATTATTTATATAAAATGTATGGATACAGGGATAATTCTATACGAGTGTTGTTCTTTTCTCAGCTGTATTTGCTGTATAGATGGTCTACTGAGTTTCCTTTGTTTAAATGACTCTTCAAGACCTTCGCGGGTATTACGGGCAAATAACATTAAACACTACCTACACAATGCTCTGTTTTTCACCAAAATGTTTGTTTAGCGTTTTAAATACTTACAGTTAGTACATAAAACGTACACCGACGACGGTATAGTGCACGATGATGTCATGTACTCGTGTATTTTATCTACCGTCGAGTAGCGTATTGATGCAATTTAATTGCGAAACCCCGTAGCGACGACATTCCCGTAGCGACTCTTAATAATTCTAAACACAAAAAGTATAATATACGAACACTGAGGATAACACGTTAAAATTTCCTTACAAACCCTCGGTTTTCACGTCTTGAAGAATAATATGGACCTAACATGAAATAATGGCAATAATAATACAAATGTACATACAAAACGTAGACTCAGAACTTTCGAAAAAAGAATTTGGCGGGTGTTTTAAAACCACCCAAACTGTTACAATAATTCTGGAACTCTGTAAGGTGGCCAAGAAAATTTAATTAAGGATTTTAGGAGTGAGTAGGAGTAGTTCCGGACACATATTTCATAAATGGTCAAATGATAAGGATTACATTAATTTGGATACTTAATGCACAGGAACTATTACAACACCATTAAAATGGTTATGTGTAATGGAAACCAGGAGTGAAAAGGCCCCAAGAAAGGCCCAGGAACAGATAATTAGATATGATTGAACATAATTCAAAAAGGTAAGCGTTGCACTATTGGAGAAATATTGTCCAGAATCGAGAGGAATGAAGAGAAGTGGCGGCGATAAATTACAAAAACTAGAGAAGAGGAATATAATAATAATATGAGTTGAACTTACGCTATTTTTTCGTCGAAAGCGGTTTTAATTAAGTCTAATAATTGGTAAATAAATTTAATTTAAAAAAAAAAACCGCTAATGCGTGTATTTATTTATTTTTTATTATTCCAGTAACGACTATTTTTACGCCACAGATATGTGCCCGGAGAAAATAAAAATAAAGAGTGAAAGTATACTATATAATATGCTCTATATATTAATATTAATATACTAAAAGTGAACAAAATTATAATAAATATAATCAATAATCATAATAACTAATAAGAATAGTAACATTAGGATTAGACAGCCTCGAATTAGATATAATAACATAAACAAGTATGCCAATAACTTTTTGATTTATTATAATTCTTTAAATTTCAAGGAAAATATTTAATTTCTTAATATTAAGTACTGAATATACTTATATATATATATATTTAGGTACCTAGATTCGAAATGTGAATTAGCATGATGATAAGTCCGTTTATAAATAATATAAAATAATATGCCAGTCAATCAGAGTTAAAGTTTGACGCTGAACCGCGCATTTGGACATATTTGCGTAGTGCCACCAATAATTTCGATACTTGTCGAAACATCCGTTTATTTCGTTCACTATTTATTGGGTGGCAGCAAATAGTTGGATAAAATGAAATTTGACACGTTTCGTGGCGGACTTTGATTCGGAAGTTGTGTACGGTTTAGGACCACGGATTCGGACGCGACGACTATCGGCTTTTTGCCAAACGGATAGTAGTCGACGTTGTCTACGATCACGGTATCGTCGTCGTCGCAAGGAGGTTGCGTTGTGGTCGGTGGTGGTATCTGTGGTATCTGTGGTACCTGCGGTGGTGATGGCGGAAGGTACTCCGGTGGGAATCCGGGAACCTCCACCGGTTGATGGTGACCGTCGCATGATGGCCGACGCGAATCCAACCTAATATTTCGGCCGGCCACCCGATCGGGTTCCACGGAAAAGTAATAGATTACATGGTGATGGTGGTGATGGTGGTGTTGATGATGGTCAGCGTCTTGCGGTGGTAAAACGCGCAGAGGCAGCATAGTCGAAACGGTCGGTGGCGATTGGTACCATGACAGTAATGGTTGATGGAATTGATGTTGGTTCGGGCGGTAACGCGACAGCAGTAGCTGCTGTTGAGCTTGTTGATAAAATGGCACAAAAGGCGTCGGTGGCGGTGGCGGCGGTTGAAGCGAATGGAAAAATTGCGGAAATTGTGTAGACCAAGCCGACGCGAATGCTATTACCGTGGTAATGGTCACCGCTGAAAAACAAAATTTGGTTTGGTTAGATTAGAGTCGCAACATAATTCTGTTTTTATATATCTGTTTGAATCGAAATTAGTCTTTTCGACAAAAGACTTTGATAGCTATTCCGTTCCGTATAGTTAAAAGCTTGAGTTAGCGCAATACTATGAAAAATGAACCATAAACGTGGTTTATCTATATGCTTTCCAAACAAATTTTTCGAATGAGAATATGCATAAATATAAATGGAAAAAAACGAACCTACAGGATGAAGAGGGTTGCAATAATTTGTAAAATTATCCGTTTAATTACGCACGCGTAAAAGTGTAAAACCGTACTGCAAATAAAAATAACAAATGACCTCGATTCGTTGAGTTCCGTTTTTAAACGGAAACTGCAAAAATGACTACGGAACCAAGTCCCATAAGTAACTACGTCAGAGATGCAAAATTGTACTCAAAATTATTTTTATAATGCGCACTCTAATAATAAATAATATAAACAATAATTTATAGTAAATGTAGGAAGGTTTTTTTTTTTTTTTTTTAATTCTTCATTAAACAAAAATAACGGCTTTTTATAGCGTAACGATGGCACTCCTGAGTCTAAATAACAAATTATGTAGATCATCAACTCGTCGAAATTCATAATTTCCAACTAAATTGTCTATTTTTTTTTTTTTAACTTTAAGCATAGACTTTAGCCGCTCGCGTTATAATACAAAGTGAACCACACAACGTAACAACGCTCATTATTTACTCCGGAAAAAAAGTATTTTTTTTGGAAAATTTAAGATACAAACCAGCTTTAAAATGTTACACGCAGACCACTGCCCGCTTTTAATTTACAAATGGCAACCTATTATTATATTATCAAAAATCCCATAAAAAAAAATTATTTTAACATTACAATTCGTAATTTCCATCGACCCGTTTGTAAGCCCGTTCTATTGATTACTCTGTGTCTCTGTTTTAACATTATGGTATTTTATGGTTACTATAAGAGCAAAAATAATGTTATTATTAGATACCTGTATTACAAAATGAAAAAAAACGCATTACATACGGTGACATATTGAATCGACGAAAACGTAAAATAACGAAACATAATATGACAATATTATAACACATATTATTATTCTCTGCAATACCCTCAATAAAATGGCAATGACTATAGCCAATGATAATAGCGTTAAACAATGGTAAGTGACGTCAGAAAACAGTCAAGACAAATAGTTCGTTTTTCGTAATACCGTTTCATACAACCAAAACTTTACGATCGTGTAATATTGTGTTTCGTCAGATTATATGCTAAAACCTGACATAAACTAAGTACTGTTACTATTCAATTATCGGTCTTAAATTTGCCACATCATAATAATTATTATTATTGCTAGTCCGGGCAACCGTACCATGTTATCTTAAAATCGTTAAAATCGATGTCATTTTAAGAATAGTAATACTAAAATAATATTTAAATTTCCCGCGGTAAATTCTCAAATTTAATTGGTTCTACCTTCAGTTACACTAATAAATGCACAAAACAAAATTATTATTATTTTTTATTTTTATTTGAAATCAATAGATTACTGTGCCTCACTGGGAAAGCTTATATTTTATTATTTTTAAAATTAAATTTTTCTATTTTCTTTACATTACATAATTTTTGTTTTTTTTTTTTTTAGGATGCTTATTCAATTTGCAGCATTTAAATATTTTCCATTATTATCCAAGACCATTGCCGTTCGATTAGCCAAAAATGTTTACACTTGCACATAATATTATGCAATGCAAATACCAAGTTTAAATTAAAGTATTATTATTGAGTTTCAGAGTTTATTTACTATATTTTAGTAAATATACTAAATAAAAAATATAGCTATTTGTAAATTTTTTCACGATTAAATTTTTATTTTATTTTACAGTTACTAAGGTTTTAATATCGAACATTTATATTTATCTTTATAATAGATGATATTTTGTTTACATTTATTTATTATTTTATATTTAGTTTTTTAAATCTAATATTGTACACTCATATTGTTTCTTTTGAATTTACTAAAATCAGGATGAACAGTGCAAAGGTACGTATTCCAAAAAGCTAAATAATTTTCGGTTATTAATTTTAGTTCGTGTCGTGATAATTTTATACCTAATTTTATTATAACGTTATTTCGAACGTTTACCTTCGTCGTATGATTTAAAATTAAAAAATATTATTTAATTTACACAAAACATTTCCGACAAATAATTTATAATGCATAATTGTAAAAAAATAATAAAATCGTTACGGCATAATTTGAAGAAAAAAAATCATACTTTTCGTCTTTTTTGGTTTTTCCCAATTATTTTGAAAAAAATCTAAAAAAATCAAAAAATTACCCCTCAATGCACCAACTATAGAAAATTAACTTTCAGAAAAACTGCTAAACTTGATACTTCGGAGCAAGATTTTTAATAGAAAAGTTGTTCACAGACATAAAAAAGAAGCCAATAGATCCCTCATTACGCTCCCAATCTAAAACAAATACTACTCACTTTCTTATCGCTCTACCACATGAACGGTTTGGTATACAAACTTGAAATTTACACTGTGGTTCTATATATCATGCACAATAATTTGTGCAATAGTAAGGTACTTTTAGAAATTCGAACTATGTTGAGAGCTCACACGTGAGTCTGGAGATTAAAATACGAACATTTATTTGTTTTTAAATAGATAGGGTTAAAAAATGTACATTATTTGTTCGAATACCATAAAATACAACGTTTATAAATCAAAAATAATTTAAACGATAGATATGATATTATATATTTACAAGCGATTCTGGCTTGCACTCGTAATAATATAGACGTAATAATATAATATAATATATAGATTTTTGTTCATTCGGCATGATGGGTAAATTTTACTGGAATGATAAATATTTTAATTTTTAAAAGCCGTATAATTCTATATCATAAACGACAGAAACACACACAAAAAAATTAACGTATAATTCGCACGATGTACAAGGAACCGCTAGATGTTTTAATGTAATACCATTAAACATCGATTTCTAACTTTTTACTATTATATTATATATGTATATTTTGTTTACTAACTAGGTGTCCGAGAAAAAGCTCAGAAAGAGACCTGCCAATTTTCGGTCAAACGTCGTTCGCAGAATACCCTCTCCGGTAGAATGGGAAAAACAACGTAAAGCGAACTTACACAAGAAGATTTTAGGTAACAGATTGTGGAGGAGGAGAAGGAATGCTTATACAATTATTACTGTCTAGGGCTCTGATGTATAAAAATAATAATGTATAATAATAAATATATGGTCCTACGTTTTGTCCAATTTAAATTTTACCTATAAAGGTGGACCGTGCTAGTAGTTAACAGGGTTAACAATTCTTTAAAAAAAAAATGTTTATTTTATTTCTTAAGAATTTGCAAAAATGTAAACCAGAACAAAATTATTATCTCCTTACGTGAAAATAATTTTAGTACAGTATCAAAATGACCCCTAGTAACACCACCTAGCAAAAATTTCAAATTTAAAATACTACAATAAATTAGTACTTAATAAAATTGTGAATTTTGATGGTTTATGGGAAAGTGTTGTTATTTTGGTTAGATTGACAAGACTTAAAACCGTACCTAGGAGCGGTTCGGATTCCCTTGAATTTTATTCAATATATAACAATTGTAGAAAAATTCTAAACGATCATAAAATTGATTAAAAAAATGATGGACTCCCCGAAATTTTTTCCAGCTACATCCTCGAATAGTTCCTAGTCGTTTTATTTTCTAGAACAGTAGACTGTATACTCCACAGTCCATCCTTGAGCAGCAATTATGAATTCAGTTCAAATACTACTGAATGAAATTATACAGTTTTTATTTTTCATACTATGATATTATGATTATAAATGCATATTTTAGTATATTTTTTGTAATTGTTTACTTTAAAATGCCTGTATTGTACCCGTACATTTTGTATTGTATTTATTCCGTATGCTTTCTAATTTTTCATCATAACATTAATAATGTAGTCGTGATAGGATTCTCCTGTCTGTATACATTTCATGTCCATATTAGAATACTAGAATGAGCACAACTTTTTACAAAAAAAAACTGACTGAAAAAACATATACATTTTATAAATTTAAACGTTTTATTGTTTGTACATAATTTGAAGTATTTTTAGGTGAAAGTGCGTATTTTATGACTTTCAATGCCTAACCTAACCTTTTTAGTCAATTTTATAGAATGTATAAAAATGCATCATACACATTAGGATAATTTTAAGTGCATGAAAATCCGAGCTCTAATTATTATTAAATAGTGTGTAGTTTTAAAATATTATTATTGTCTCTTCTGGTTTCAGTTAAGGGTGACTTTCTGATGAACAAATGTTTTAACGATCTGAAAGACGGATTGCAAAACACGGTCGAGCAGAAACGGAAGACGATGGAGAACCTAGTGCAACGTCAGCTTCAAAAAGAAAAGGCGAACATACAGTCGGAAAGCAAAAAAAAACTGCTACAATTTACCGAAGAAACACAAATAAAATTTAACGTAAGTTCAGAGAGTACGTCTCGCGTTATTGCTTTCGAATAAATGGTAGAGACAGAAAAAAAATACTTCGAACGATGGGTGGGCCACTGTTGTAGGTGAAAATTAAGAGTGGAAATTAAATTTATATTTGTACGCAACAATAAACCATTGTTAATGAAAAATAATTCTTACCAGAGTATTATTATTCGTATTTTTCCTTTTTAGACATACTACCTTGGGTAAACCAGAAAACAACAATTATAAAAGAATTAAAATTTTTTCTATTTTTTAAGAAAACCTAAAGTAAAATTGAAAAATTATCTCCTAAATTAAAAAAATGCTACAAAATATCCAATAGTGTTTGTTATTTGAGCAAGATTTTTGGTAGAAAAGTTGTTTACAGACATACATAGACAAAAAAAAAAAATACATTCCAGTAACCGATATATCCTTCACTTAGAATCTATAAAACATAACCTAATAACAGTATAAATAGAAAATATTACCGAGTTATATGGCTATTTTGCGCAAAAGGGTTTAAAATAAATTGTGGAATAAATTTAATTATATATCTATATTAAAATTGAAAATATTTTTCAATCGTCATGAATTTTCGAAGAACCTACTGTCTGTTCGGTTCATGGAGAATCTTCAATAAATATTTTTTATTCACCTGCAACATAACCAACATGCATTTCTAACTAGCCTTTTTAACGTCTTTCAACTTTTTATATTTTTCTATTTGAATAGCTTACCCAAGCACTCGTATCGGTAAAAATGTACCTATATACTTAGCAACTTGAAACCGATGGTAAAAAATAGAATTGAATTTGTAATACAAAAGTTCAGACATATTTCTTTTAAACGAGTATTTTTTCTATCGTTAATTTATATTTGAACTAATATGCTAGTATATTCTGTAGAAAGATTTAGCCACGGCGACTGCAGACACGCGGAATGGCTGCGAAGAACGTAGAAAGCAATATTTAATGGAAGTGAAGAGATTGACTTCGGCAGATTTCCAAGAATCGATATTAGAGCAGAAAAAACATTTAGGAAAGAAATTCGAACGTTTCAAGATACAGAATTTGGCGGATTTCAAAAATTACTATAGACAGTTAATTGATTGTTATCAGCAAACAAACGAAAAACAACTAGCAGACATGAAACAAAAACACGACGAAAACTACGAAAATCTGAAAAAGTCATTGATAAAAAAATACAACAGAGATCTCGCTTTGGCGAAAATAAATTATCAAAGAATATTATCGTCCAAACAATCGCAACCGCCTCCCGAACTGCCAGTAATCAACGATGACGAAACAAATCGGAAAGAATTGGAATCGCTCATACAACAAAGAACCAAAAAGCTAAACGATTTAAACCGGGATTCTCGACAGCTTATGTTTTACAAAATGAAAATTAAAAGCATATTGAACAACTACGGTAAAATAGTGACCATGATGGTGCCACAGCCTTCTGATGTGCACTACGTACTAGATAAGAAAATGATGATTGAAAAGTACTTGGGTCGTCCGACAAAAAATGAACTAAAACAATTATCGATCCCCGAAGATGAATAATCTTTGATTTTAGCTATATCTTTATATTTTTTCTTTTTGATAATATTTTGGAGAAATAACTACTAACGGTATATTGCAAAATATAGTACCTATGTACTCGTATAATGCATTTAAATAATTTTTTGTTGCGCCAACACTATAGGCAACTCAATTTGCTTTAAATTGAATATTTTAATGCGTAAATACACGTGTACAATACACAATCAAATCGATTTTATATAATGATCTGAAAATGTGCACGGAAATTGATGTACAGGACCGTGTATACCTCGAATTTTCAAAGTCGGATTTTTAAAATTCAACCCCTTTAGGAGTTGAGTTACCCCTAAAGTGTAGCTTACACATGATGTGTGGTATATTTTTATTAATTTCTGAGTTACCCTGATGGCCCGATGAATTTAAAAAGGATATAGGGGATGTGATGGAAGGGATAGGTGAGAAACGTTAAATTTAATTGATTTATTGTTTTCGGTTATTGAAAGGACTTTTTAAAAACTCTGCTTTTAATTGGCTAACAAATGGGAAATTAAATTAGTAGATGGGACAACTGTAGTCATGAATGAATAGTAGTATTTCCTTGTAAACCAAATGAGTCTACATTTTAATCAAAAAATCAAACTTTTCGCTGTAACTTGATCGAAATGTATAACTTCAAGATTAAATTACTAAATTAACAATCGTAAATTTCTTGTATTCCTAAACCGATTAAAGGATATAAGGAGTTATATCATTAATTAAATTAATTAAACCTAAAAACCTTCTCTTTGCGTACGTCACTGCTCTTGCCCGATATTATCATTTGGAATTAATAATAATTATTGAAAAAAATGTGTTTAATTTTAGAGGTCGTAATGATCGTAACAATATGAGGTACTTAAATTTAGTAAACGAAATGTGTTTACGTTCCGAATATCCAGATAAGATCATATAGATTTCGTTTACCTTTGAAACAATAATATTATAATTACACTTACTGGTTTTGAAGAAAATCATCGCGCGGGCTCTTGCAAAACAGCAACGCAAATAAACAAACGTTGTTCGGCCGATGATGATGCGAGCTTCACTGGACACGTGACCGGTACATGAACCGCTTTTTATAGAAGTCGTATATATTATAACAATATAATATGCACACGGAGATATTAGGTGTTGGTTTTTGTTTTCGGGGATATGTACGATATACATAAAAAAAAATCCGTTGAATTTGTTATGCAAGTCGTCTCGCGATGGACGACGCGACACGGAGTTCGTGATCCAAATGTCCTGCAGGTCGCGCGGTTTCATATTTTTTTTATTATTATTATTATTTTTTTTAACAACGGTTCGGTTTTAAGGAGAAATTGGACCGCCGGCTAATGGATCTGGATATGTGATTTTACGTGATTAATTACTTAGCCGATGAATATACTCGAAATATTATATACCGGTACGGTGCACGTATGATTTCAACGCACGATCTCTGGAAATAATAAGTAAATTATACATACGTATTATACGTGACAAAATAGCAATATTATAATACATAGAACGATTTAAAAAAAAAAAATATATATATATACATATTATACATATTAAAAACTACTCTGCGTATTATTAGGATATTCCGTGGATGTCCGCTAATAAAACCTACGACCGGCGAGCTTTCTCGCCACGAATCGCAGTGTTATGAAAATCACTTATTTCTGTGCAACGAGACCAGAAATTAAACTACAGTAGAGTATTTAAAAAAAAAAAAAGCCGGACATAGGTATTTCGCAACACAGGTCTTATAAAAAAGTATTTAAAATGTTTTTCAAATACGTTTCTAAAAAATGAATTGTGTACAAGCTCCGAGTTCCGTTCAAATATATAATGAAATCTTTTTTTTTATACTTCCGTCAAAGTGAAATTAAGTAATTTAAGTTAAAGTTTATGTAGTTAATTAAGTATTATTAAAAACATAATCAATATTACTTGAAAAAGTATTATGTTTTAATTCAATTTTTTTTTTTATTGTATTATAAATTAAGTAGTATTAATTATTATAAAATATTTCTCATAGTATTATAAATAAGATTTACTTTTAAATTATAACGAATAATTAAATTTTAAATTCTGAATCAACCAAAGAATGTATTGATTTTACCATGATGCGAGATTTTTTTTTTTTTTCCAGTGTGTGAATACCTCAAAAATTAAATGATAATTTTGTTATCATAATTATAATTTAAATCTAAAACTATCAGAATATTTTGGAAATTTTACCGTGTATGCGACAGTTTAATTTGCGGAATATGATTTAATGTTATTTAAACTGAATTGCAAAAAAAAAAAAAACAAAACGAAAAATAACAGAATCTGTTATTGATCCCGTAAATGATCCCGGTATTAAAAAATCTATAAGGAAAATCCAAACTGACTTCCCTAATATGATATTCGGGTAACTTTATTGTTTTTAATGACTTTCAACAACTAGACACAATTTGATACCGTAAAGTTTTTGTTGCGTTTTTGATCGGAACAACATGATTTTAGATCGAATAAACAAATGTAAAAATAATTTTCGCCGACTTTTGATGTAATTGGCCTCATCGCGCGGCATTTGTAATATAATAATAACGATACCTGTACATAATACACACATACGTAGACACAAACGGTCGAATATTGTATTTACAATCCTGGCCGGTCGGATAAAACGTCCGGCGATATAATATTCTGGTCGAGGGCAATTTCCGTTGCTTTTCCCTGAGCGCGGGGTAAATAATTTCGAAAAAATGATTTCGCCGTTGCGCGTTTCCCCGCTTCGTTCCGCATTATTACAGCATTATATATGATAAGGGATGTATAGAGTCCGCAACAGAACGTACATTATTAATATTAAATTTATTAAATCGATTTTATTTGATCGAAATATGGACTATACGGGTTTTCAATTCACATAATGTACGAGCAGTCCACAATATTATTACTTACGATATAATACTATACGTATAGAGATAATAGAATAGAATATACGTCGGCGAAAAAATTCTAGACGCACACAATATCATATTTAATCGCAAGAGGAATTTACGATGCGACGTATTCGTAGCGAAAATTAATAAAAATTGCATAACACCCGCAGTTATGCGAGAACGGCCGGTTTCATATTTAGCCGATTGTAATATAATCATGGACCTGGGCAAAATGTTACTTCTCATAATTTTCCACGGACATCTAAGGTACCAAATGGATATCAAATGATAACAAATAGGTACTCACTAGTACGGTACATAATAATGGAGCAGAAAGACTAAAAATATAATCGACGACGTTTGTACACGTTGTGGTTAGACCCACCAAATCGCCTTAACAAACGTTGTTATTATTGTTATTATTTTTTTCAAATGTGTTTACTCGTGTAGACAGCCCGATTTGCACGTTGTATAGATTTTATTCGAATAAATTAGCGAAGTTATTGGAATACACATTTGTAATACTCGAATAAGTATCACAATAATTGTATAATATACTTTTATTTCCTTTAGCATTTTGCCTATAATTAAAAAAAAAACCAATATACCGAATTATTAATTCATAATACGAATAATTTTTTTTTTTTCAGAATTAATATTTTAAGTAGATAATTAAGAAAAAAAATAATAATTCGAATAGTACGTATTATGAATTAATAATTCGGTATATTGGTAATTTTTATTTTAATCATAGGCAAAATGCTGAAGGAAATAAAAGTATATTATACAATTATTGTGATACTTTTTCGAGTATTATAAATGTGTATTCCGAAACTTCGCTGACGCTAATTTATTCGAATAAAATCTATAAAAACGTGTAAATTGGGCTATCTACACGAGTAAACACATTTGAAAAAAAACACTTAAAATCTACTTAAAATATTACCTGAATAAAATGAAGTAATAAACACTTGAGCACATTTATTCCAATACCACTACATTGGTAGGGTTGGATATAGTTTTCTAATCAAGTATTAATATTGTGTTTACCCAAAAGATGAGGAGCGGTCAAAACTCAATTGTGTTGAATTTATCATATCATGTAAACATTAGTTGCATGACAAGATAAATAAGGATTTCAGATTTGTATACACCTGAACATTTTGTGAAACGGTAAATTTGGTCTATTATTATATAGCAACCAGGTAATTCAAAAGTTATAATATCTAATGGTAAAATTATAATAAAAAGAAATATAATTTTTGTCCGTGACATACGAAATAAATACAGCGATTTATTATTTAAACGTTTAAATACCTAACATAGAGTCTAAATAAATGTCCATGTAATAATTGAAAATCTGTCATTTTATGTGATGTGTTTTTGATGCGAGTACCTCCTATATATTTTATCGTATGAAAGAAAAAATTTGATATTATGTATGAATATAAACGAAAGATGATTCGTCACATTTGAACATATTATTACGGTTCGTTAAAAATAAATACCGATTTGAAGTTTACTATATTAACGATGGTTATCTTGTCCATACAAACAGGCAACATTATTGTTTGTCCCTATTTGTGGACAACGAACGATTTTTAAAACAAAACAAATGTCGTACTTCAAACATTACACATTATGTACACGTAGTTGTCACACACGCAGTTGTGCTCTTACGTCGAAACTGTGACGCGAAAATGGTGTTACGGAGAAACAGCGACGGCGATGGCTTTTTCGAGCTCGATATTCCGTCTACTATTTGATATATCCGGTCGTAAAATCGCCCTGGGAGAAAACCGCGAGATCGAAAAGTGCTTATTAATAATAATTCAATACAAAATTGAATCGTCGAATATATAATACCCACCATAAGTAGGTATTATATAATAACGGTGAGTACTTTCTTAATTTAATTTTCGATGGGTCTAAACTTTAACCAAATTCCGTTTTTTGGCGTGATCAAGCCGAGTTTCATTCTGATATTCGGCGGAATATCGGTTTTCGCACGAGACATAAGTTAATATTTTGTCAACACTTACGTTAAAATCAATTTCAATTCAAATTCGGCGAAACGTTTCCGTTTCCGTTTTCGGCTTTAACTTCACAATTATCAAATTAACGTGCACGGAATGATTTGAATTTATTTGGAAATTGCTAGGTGCATACCAATACGATGACAAGGTCTCGTGGCGAATGGAAGGAAAGTCCCGTTCGACCGTTTAGGCATTGCTTCCTTAATAAATCGATTCGGATCGAAAGTTTCGATATTACGGTAATATTATGGATCCCGGTGTATACTATACACGGGTATTAGGATTTGTTGACCCTTTTCGATCGTAAACTACCGCATCGAGGTACCTTGTATTATATATTATACATAATGTATATTCCGCAAAGAACAGACTTCTGGCCGGAATATTGATCGACGGATCAAATTTCAACCCACGATCGGTGAAACACATAAAATCTTTGTTCATCGTCATATCTATTAGTTTCGGGTCCCGGACCATCAAATAGGACGTTCTCATTTGATAAAATCCGCGAATTTTCTGGTGAGTAAATTGCTGATAAATTCTGCCAAAAGTGACCGTCTGATTTTCCATGCGCGTCGTCATTCTAAACACGTTGCCGGACGGAGGTACTGGAGGAGCGTGGGACACGTTTAGCTGCCGCCATCGATCGTATGTCGATTTCGAATAATAGTGAATAAACGTAAAACTTTTTCAAACTCAAGATTATCGAATAGAACCACCAGTCGTACAAAATAGTATAATAAGAAATCATATCTACGAAACACAACTTGTAAATTGGAATCAATGTATCCGAACACCTTGCACACCAAGTACACACCATAGGACTAATAAACCTATAGTCGAAGATGTCTTAATATGTTCTATTTATTTTTCGCCAAATATATAAATATGCATACTTCGTAGGTTACTCACAACTATAATTATTACAAAAAATATATATATTTTTTTTTACAAACAGAAGTATTAAATACGTGTATGATGTTAGGCACTATATTTTCTCAACAATTAATAATATTAAAGTATCATGTCGTTCGGTTCGAATTTGCATAGATTAAATCCTGCTGAATACGTTATTATTTTAACTGATTTAGGTGTAACATTGAAATTTGTTTCAAGGTGACAGGATTCTCATATAATAATAAAATTTAAATTTGCACATTTTGACGTTTATTAACGATGTGTGGTCGCTATATTTTCAAAAATTCCTGTTTATTTTTTATTCAGAAATTATTTAAAATGATTATGATAGTTTTAAAGCGTCTTTGAATAACGTTGATATAAGTGTGTCCTATTTTTATTTATTTTTTATTTTATTGTTTAACCGACAGCAGTGAGGGATTTGTTTACACAGTATTTCCTTAAAATATCTTATTTTTGCAAATGCTTATAACTATCTTACTAGATTTTAAATAGTGGTGATAACATAGTGTGTTTTGGTACAGTACTTAATAACTATAATTTGGGAAACACGAATAAATTGTCATGTTTTTTTTTTTTTTTTTTTAATACGTCATTATACATTTTACAACAAAAAATAACATTTTATTAGTTACCTATTTAATATTAAATACTTTTAAAACTACAGAAAAAATAAAAAAAAATGTTAAAATAATTTAACGCCGTCGATACAGTATTAACTGTTCCCAGTTTTTATACTTAGTTACATTTTTTTTTTTTTTTTTAAGACATTTTATTAAAAATAATATGTTCGATAGTTTCCTATATATTATAATAAAGGTAACTAACATATATCGAAGAAGTATGCGAAAGTTATAGATACAACACATTATTGTATTACAGACAGCATTATAATCTATGTAAGTCTAAACATTATTTACAAAAAATCGAAACACAAAAACACGTTACGCGATTATATTATTTTATCGTCGGGATCGGCTTACGACTCGGTAGACTGTTCGTCCCTCTTGGGCCGGCCGTCCAATGCCAAGACGTATGTAAGTGGCAAAACGTTGCCGGACTGATCGTAGTCGACACGATACAGATGACGTATACCTTGGGCCGCCAAGAACTGACGCTGTTGATCGTCGAGTTCGACGGGCGTTGGGACGGGCCTGTTACCTGTTCGCGGGAACAACGCCTGTTCATCGAATTCTTCGGACTCCCGAGAGGGCGGTGGTGGTGGTGGTGGTGATTTTGTGGTAGACGTAGTGGGCCTATGTCTGATCGGCTGCTGCTTCTGTTGCCTCTGCCGTGTGGACTTAGATTTGTCGTTGACCGCCGGAGTGGCTATCTGCGCGTTAGCTTCTTCCAAAGCTTTGAGTTCGGCGCCGCTCAACGTTTCAAGCTCGTGAGGAAACTGCAACAACTGCAACTGGCTCCTGTCGTCCAAGTACTTGGTTGTCGCTTCAGGCCGTCGGTTCGCTTTAGTGGCTGACAATCTCTGGCTACCTCTCGACGACTTTGGCGGTACAAGAGTAGTCGTATCTTCCTGCAGCTGTTGTTGTTGTTGTTGTTGTTGTTGTAGCTGTAGCTGGGACAGAAGCGAAGTGAGGAAATTGTCGGGTTCAACTTCTGAAGATGACTGTTCCGGTTGCAGCTGATATGCCTGCTGTTGTATGGGGGCTTCAGCCCGAGTAGACTGTTGTTGTTGTGTCCTTCCCGATTTCTGCGTCTCCTGCCTCGGTCTCTGATTGATAGGTTTCTTCGGTCGGGGTATGAGTATCACCGGTTCTTCTTCGGCCGGACGGGGGGCCACGGTCGTGGACGCAGCAGCTGACGTGGCGCTGACAGTGGGGCCTTCGGAAGTCTGATAATAATAGTGGTTCCTCCGTGGTATTTGAACGACCTGTTCCGTTTCCTCGATTGGTTTGTACATTTGGCCATTAGGCTGGATGTACACGACGTTTTGGAGCAAGCGAGCGTTCAACTGAGCTGGGCTGACGATGGCAGAGGCTACAGGACGGTCTACCGTCGGCTGAGTGACTGGGTCTATCACGACATTGTTATTTTGTACCCTAGGCTTGGACACGGACCTTTGACCTTTTGGCCGACTGACTGCCGGTTCTGCCTGCTGTGTGCTTGCCGGCCCGAATTGGACTTGAGCGTAAGAAAACGATTGGCTGCCCTCATCGGTAGACTGCAGGAAGTTTTGTTGTTGCGGAGCGAAGCTGTTGTCCTGTTGTTGTTTTGGCACGAAGTTGTTGTCCTGTGGCCGTGGCGTAAAGCTACTGACTTGGAGTGGTCGTGAAGCGAAGTTATTGTTTTGTTGTTGTGGTGCAAAGTTGTTATCTTGTTGCGGAAGAACAAAGCTATTATCTTGTGGCTGTGGCGCGAATTCTTGCTGACGTATCTGTCCATTTTGGTCTAAAAACTGTAGTGGCTGTGGTTGCTGTGGTTGGACTTGTTGAAACTGGGGTGGTAACGGTTGGGCAGCAGCGGGCCTTTGCCTGTTCCTGAGCAGCGCAGTCTGCTGTTCTACTAACGTTCTCCTGGCGTATTCTTCTTGTAGGCGTTTTTGTTCGGTGGCGAACGGAGATAAGGTTGTTGTGGTCCTCGGCGGATATCTATAAACGGCACGAACATCATAGTTTTTAAGTAAAAATAAATTTATTATGTAAATAAAGTTAATGAATATTCCAATGAAGCATTTTATTCTATCCTGTAGATATAGATTACGAATGTAACGATAAAAGTACCGGATTATCATAACGTTGGTATCATATTATCAGTTGGCCATTTTATCACAATTTCTGTCACAAATTAAGAAAATATGTTCTCCTATCATAATGAATTCGCTTAAAAACTTAATCTAAGGCATGTCTAAAAAAAAAAAAAACAGGAATATCAATTAAAATTAATTTGCTACCACTGTGGCGCAAAATCTCCGGACTACGAATAAAACATATCAATATTATGTTATAAACAATTGTATTTATTTCTTAAGTTTGAAGCCTAGGAACCATGATATTTAGGTGACACCCATTTTTATTTAGAACATTATTAAAGACATTAATAACTAGGTATGCTTATGTGAGATGATTTTTATTTAGATTTTTACCCTGATACGAAAAACTGTTGTGGCCCAGTTTGTTGGTTGAACTGCGGTTGTGGTCGAACATTTCCAGCGGCATCTGTCTGCTGGACGAAATCAAAATATTCTTGTGGAATCTGTGTAAAAACGGCGGAAAAGTTATTGGTTTCTTTTTTTTCTAAAAATATTATGGTTTTACTTGTTGTTGGTCAAAATTATTATTTTGGAAATTCGTCTGTCTTTTCGAAACGGTCGGTACGTTTTCCAATGTGGCCTCTTCTCCGTTATCTTTTTTTCCGGTTGGTTCTAACGACGCAACTAAAAAAAAAAACTGATGAGTGTGCGAATTTTGTAGGTAAGCAGTTTGAATGGTAGGATACAGAGAGTTATTTACATTATATTTTTATACAGCGATTAATCATTGCTAACGAAACACGATTCTAAACGAAGTTTAATTCAATATATTTTTAATTGTCGTGATTTTCACGATTTTTATAAAAATTTGAACTTAAAATGTTAAATAAAAAAAAACCTATATTACCCTCAGATGATTAAACATATATTGGTTTGGTTTACAAACTGTACTTACATATATCGAAAAGTAGTACTTGGAATTACGTGAATTTTTCTATTTCTATTCAAATGTGAACTTCAAACGCGTTTATAATATATTTTTACTATACATTATTCTAATTTTTTTTTTTAACCACTAAGTTAAGATTATGATAAAATTTGTGTAAAATTATCAACCAGTTTTGCTTGGGAAAATAATTTTATGCACACAAAGTCTACAAAATAATAATCTAAACAACTTTTAATAGCTAATAAATCATTAGGTTATTTTTTAAATTTTACCATGTCAAAAAAGCAGATATTTTTAACCAAATTAAAAAATGAAAAAAAATTTAAATTTTTTAAAACGTTATTTTCATAAACTTTTCCCGTTTTTCCTAAATTGTCTCAATTTATTATCGAGGTAATTTTACGAGAAATCTAAAAACGGCCTCCTTATGCATCAACTAAACAAAATTATATTTCACAAAAGATTCTACGAGTAAAATTTCGTGAACATTTTTGGTACAAAAGAAAAATAGAATAAATTTAAAATATTGTAATCGTTAATGTATTAGTGTTTCTTTTATCCATGTGTTTTTTATTGGGGAAGAAGGGTTTCAAATCATTATAAAAATTTGGAATATCGAAAAATGGTTAACTTGAGATGCATCAACTAGATCCAAAATAAAACAGAAAAGATCTTTTGTAATTTTTCATTATTGGAACAAGTTTTCAAGTTTTGTTGTTAAGTTGCTCGCAGACAGAAAAAAAACAAGTAGTTAGTGGTAGAGTGCATTACTCAGAAAGTAGTGATTTCAAACTACCGTAAATTAATGCTTAACTAGTAATCTAGTTAATCAGTGAAAAGAAGCGATTCTTGTTCAATAAAATCGAGGTAGTTCGCGGCCTATCGAAATAGATCTCTAAGTGGTCGGTAGTGTCAGAAAGTTGGAAAAAACTGTTCTGGGACATCTCCAAAGAAATATTATTGCGCAAATCGTTCTACAAGTGTCACGACCCCGGTTTACGATATAATAAAATAATTAAAATTTACAGAACAATGTTTTAATAGCACTATTATCTAATTATTTTTATTCAAACCCGTCATAAAATTATGAATGTTGTTTGACAATATCGTCGCGTGTTATTGCATAGACATGATATTACGTAACGATGCTCTAATTTTCGTTTGGGGCGTTTGGGTAGCACATAATATTTCAATAGGTACCAGTTTCTAACCGAATATTATCAATAATGATTATTATTATCATTATAGCCGCGGGAAACCATAGATACAAAAAGAATGGATAAGTCATTCCTATACATAGTTTCAACGTAAGCTGCCGCGTTCCAAGAGAACAGACAAACCTATCTCTGTCTCACAAATCTGCCTTATACAACATTGGTTACTGCGGTTAAATGTTTGGTTTACATGTTGTATTATTTTTTAAAAACATTTTATTTTTAATATTACAATGGTTCATCCATCGCTGCGTTATTTGCAAGTAATGGGTGACTTGACTTTTTCATTCCATTTATAAGTATCATTAAATAAAAAAAAAAGGCATCTTAGGATAGCCCCGTTTTTGGGAGCATGTGTTAAAGCAACACAGCCTATCTATTCTTTATTATCTAAGTGGGAAACCGGTAAACCGTTCAATCATTTACTATCATTCTCAAACAAGATGTTTGTTAATAAATAAGATTTTTGTACATTTCTGTCTTAGTATTGTCTGTGTCTCAATCTCACTCTCTGTCTCTATTTGTACCTATATATCATATATATATACAGGGTGATTTTTTTTATCATGAGATAATTTTAAAAATTACCTCAGAGAATTTTATTTATTACCCTTTCCTACTCCTCCGGTTTAAACTTTGAACTGTTATGACTTATAAACGGTAAATTTAATATTAGCGTTATGCACATCAAAATGTCTAGAAAAATGTTTTCTATTCAAATCTGCGTTCAAAAAAAAAAATTGAAAATGGTTTTAAATTAATGCCTAAACGATTCCATAATGATTAAAAAAAAAAAAAACAGATATCCAATTCACTTAAAAAACTCCGATATAATTACTGATTCATAATAAAAAGAAATCACAGTATATATTTGTTATATATAACAGATACCTTCATAATGCAATATCCACAAAACTGAAAACTCCATATTTAAAATACGATAATATTATTACCACAATAGCATACGCCAGATGCGTTTTTTTGACGTGTCACAGCTAACGTTTTTCATACCTGCGTTAATTCGGACTACAACGACGACTATCTGTCGTTTTACTGTACTGTCGAAGAATTGAATAATTATTAGACACGCTTCTTGTTATGGGCGAACGGTAAAGTTTTATATCTATAGATACGATATTACATAGTATAATATATATTTTATACGTATACCTGTGTTATATAAATGAGGTCCGACGAAATTTCATGTACGAAATTATTTACGCGAATAATTAACGAGCAATCAGAGTTTCTTTTTACATGTTTATGTTTAAATGATGAAAAAACGGTACCTGTCCTCGCAATGATGACGTATGATTCTTCCGTATACGTTTTTAAACGATAAAAAAAAAACGTACTTCTAAACGCTATAAACAACACGGTAATCGTAATAATTCCGATTTTAAAAAACCGGTTGTAAGCGTTTATGGTGATAAAACGTCTATTTTGGTATTCTTTGTCGCACGCCCATGAGTGTAATCTAAATGTATAACATCTAAAACGAAATTATAACGTTCTTTTAGTTTAACCAACGTAAAATTAACGATCAAAAACGTTAATTTTACCTGCTAGTATTTAATTTTAATTTTTTTAATTTCTGCGACCACTTTTTCGATAAGAGTTTTTTCTTTTTTATAAAAATCGCTTTAATTACCAATCCTAAAAGGTAATTGTATTGGATATACTTTATTTAAAACATTATTTCTTTTAATATGAAAAAAATATAAGAATATAAAAAAGACTGACATACTTCGCACGTGGATGGGCCACTATTGTAGGTGAGAAGTTTGGAAAGTAGACGAGAAATTGAATTTACGACTACATCATACAGATGTACGCAACGATCAACCATTGCTAACGAAAAAGGATTCTGAGCAGAATTCGGTTAATAGTATTAATTGTTAACAACATATATATATCGCATTATGATTAAATAATAACATATGCATTGTATATTTTCTTTAATATTATTTGTTTAATATGTTCCCGTTTTTCCTACGTTTTTTTTCCCGGTTTATCCTATGTACAATTCTAATTCCTATGCATGTGCTCATACTATACACACGGATATGGTGTGCCTCCCCTCCACTTCAATCGTTTTAATTAAAATGGAGACCAAACAATTGAATATTAATGCAAATAACGGCAAATTTGGTTAGGCTAATAACTACAACATTTCTCCATTTCAGTTTTTGTAGGGGGTAACTTCGAGCAGTCCCCCCACATTAGCAGATCAGCGTCAAAATACTGCCAAATAATTATGAATCAAATTTCTATAATGGCATACCGTTTTAGGATTTATTTGGCATTTTTCAGACCTTTTAAACATTCACAAACTATTATAACGTGTATTAATATAAATAATCATTATAAGTAGATAGGTAGACAGTAATAGCATAAAATAAAGAAAATAAATAATCATACCTATAATATGTACATTATTAAAAAAAAAAAAACGCACACACACACACACACAATCTTGTCATTATAATATGATGCCTTATTACTATAATAATACCAGAACAAATTTTGAAATTGCTTGAAATATTCTAAATAAATACTTATTATATGGTATGCATTTATGGAAACTCAATTTTTAATTATTCGATGATATTTAGATACTGATCAGCCAAAGAGGTCTATATTTAGCCTATAAGTCCAAAAAAATATGTTATTCATTATACAAGAAATCAAATGATTTTCAGCTAATCTTACCAAATTTTTAATTGTAATTTGAAATTATTTGGCACCATTTTCAGTCAAATCGATTGAGGTGAGAGGCCAATATTTTCGCAATTGGATATCCTTGGCTTCTTGACAAAACGGAAAACAATTATTCAAACTCGAAAATTAAAATTTCTAGAATTGTTTTATTAGTCGCATTTAAGTGATAAGAGTTGAATTAGATTTTACATAATTTCGTGGAAGAAGCGTATTTTTTTAGTGTTAAACACCCGTACAGACCCTTCCAAATAAAGCTAGACTTATGCAATTTTATATAAATTCGGTGTTTTACGATTTACTGTTCTAAAAAGAATATGTCTGTAGTATAAATTAGATGTGAGCGAATTAGACTCTAGTGAAACTCTGCTGCTAACAGATGTTCTGTTCGCAATGATGATTTATCGTCGCTCTCAGAGCCCAGTGCCTGTACATGTAAACAAAATTACCCATAATGTTCTAACTTATCGACTACAAATCCATAACAGTAGCCGACCAACGTACAACGGTGCGGAATATCAGTTGGTCGTTTTTCGCTTGTTCCTATAAACACAGGCAGGATTTAAGCAAACGAGAAAACAAAATATTTTAAAATCGTCAAATTATTTTTCGTGTACCAAAAATACCTAACCTAACCCAATACGATCAGCACGTATTAATATTACTGTTTCAAAGCGAGTTCGAAGCGAAGTTAGCCAACATTGTTATAATGTATATTTCGCAATTTCGTGACGGGCGAGTTCAATTATTATTAACCTAACCAGTCGGTATTTGTTTTTTTTTTTTTCCCGTCGCCTTACTGCGCTTTTGCGTTTGTTACGCGAAACCGATCGCGTGACAATGACACACTGACGCCGACGGCGTAATATTATCGTCCGAACGCCGCCGCCGCCGTCTCGCTCGTCGTAGTCCTCTGACCCAACACGGTTTTCGATTTTATACGGTATTTTTTTTTTTCGCTCTATATACCGATCTCGATCGCGCGAGCGTACACCGCGCACCGCCGAGTACGGTTTTGTGATAAATGTGTCGCCTCGCAGTCTTATATGCGAGTCGTTTTTCTCGGAACGTCGACCCGGCTAAAACAAACAAATTTTCTCAACAATGCTCGTTCACCTCTGGCCCCTCGCAACAATCCCGACCGCCGACCGAGGCTATACTGCAGTAACGTTTGCGTACGTTACCGCGGTCGTGGTATATACACACATTTATATATATATATATACCGCGGAGACTATACACAAGCTCCTTAAGCGGTGCAGCCACTTGACCCGAGTCAAAAGTCGTATACGTATATACTATATATGTATACATTATATTATGTTTTATGACCATAACACACACATACACACGAACACACATCCAAGACTATAAAGGAGCTTTTTTAACGTCCACCAACATTATAAATACACGTGTCGAGTGCCCTTATTATAGTATAGAAGTCAAAAGATGACGACGGGGTTGTAACGTCCATGTATTCCCATCATCCGCGAGTTTCTAAAATATTATATTTTTTTTAACGATTTATTATGACCCGAACTACGCACATATAGATGTTTATAAAAAAAATCGAATACATTGTCAGTGGCGTAGCCAAGGGTGGCTAAGAGGAAACAGTCCCCATTTTCATTCCCGTGAGGCATGTTTTTGTATTTAAAATATTTTATGATTTGATTATTCAACGGTTTCCAGTTATTTCTTCCACTCCTGCAATTACGTTGTTTACACTAAACTGCATGAAAACGTATATTAAAGAGGAGCTCTAAATACAAAACAATTAGATAATAGGCCAAAGGTTTATCTATGACTAATAAAAGAAATACATTAATGAAAATGATATAATTACTGCCTTTGCTTAAAATTTTACTAGGAGAATACAGCTGTCAGATGGGTGTAATAAGTAATTTAGTAATCTAGTTTAATTACTAGATATGCCGAGACATAGTAAAAAAACTAGACTTGAAATTCACCAACTAGATCCAAAATTCAAAAACCTTCTTATTGATTTTTGATTGACGTAAGACTACTGGTGGATAAAAAAATTGTTACCGACAGAAAAAATGAAAATATAAGCCCACAACATGGTAAAATTAATACATTCCTCGTTCCGTTCAGAATCTAAAAAATAATGTAACAGATTTTTGAAGTCATCCGAATATAACCAAATATTTTTCTTCTCAGACTGTATGTCTAAAATATTTTAGGAATACTTTCCGAATACTTTTAAACGGTATTTTACCGGAGTCCGTATACACACACGCACACACACTATACGACCACCTCACAGATTTTAAGTACCCACCTAATATATAATAAAGGTGTCCGCTGTGCGCACGAGACCAATATTTATCTCTGACATAAGTTGTTTCATTTGTATTATTGTTACTATTTTTTTTTTTTTTTTTCAAGAAATGTTTGTGTCACGTAGGAAACCATGTCCCCGGTTTACGATTGTTTATGTGATGTACGGTTTTGGGTTTTCACGAACCAACGCCAGGATATTTATATTATCTATTAACCTACGACGTACCACACGTTATGTCACACAATCTCTTTAGATTTTATAGGTAAAAAAATACGTATAATGGTATTATTAATATCATTATGACAGCGATATAACGAGCGGAACCGGCTACAGATAAGTATCGCAATAGACGTTGCTATACGATAGGTACGAATAAAATATTATTATAATATTACGATGTTCGTTATGTACGGTCGTGACAAAATAATAATTTTCGCACCGGGTACGTGTGTGTATACTTTTAGTGATAGGTAACAAAAATAAATGGCTACCGCAGAACCGCAGACCCGACGAAAGGATCTGATACAAATTATTTTAATACAAATATAGCAGTATCATTTTATTCTCTGTAGAAAAGTGTTTGTAAACCAAATTGAAATGAAAACCCGACAGTTTCAAAAATAAAACGATGACTGCTGCGGTATATGCGGTATACCTACTGGGGTAGCCCCAGAGGCGTGCTCAAGAGAGGCATAAGGGTGTAATTTCCCTACTCGGTTTTTTTTTTTTTTTATATAACAAACCCATGCTTCGTGAATTCCCTGTAATCATTATACTTGTAACATGTTTTGTTTTATTGGTACTTATTATTATTTGGTCTTTAAAGAAAGTTACCCATAAAACCCGATTTACACTAGTTCGGTAAGGCATGACACGACAAAACATTCTATTAATATAATATTGTATACGGTAATACACACTTATCCGTATACGCACGATATGACACGAGTACACGACATGACCAATCATTGTGACAAAGAATGTTTTGTCGGTCTGTTGGTGTCTGTATTACGAAATTAAAAATGCGTACTAATTTTTTTAAATAATAAGAAAAAAATAATTTTGTGAAAATATTAACTCACTCCCTTTCTGTGCCGAAAAAAAGTTAAAATACAAAAATCCGACTGATAAAAAAAATAAATAGTAATCAAACTAATATTGATTAGTGTAGTTAAGTACATGTCTGTCATTTTCGGTCGATCATATGTGAACTGGATGACATGTTTGTTTGTCGTGCCGTGCCGTACAAGTGTGAATTGGGCTCCTGATGAAATTGTTGATAACATAACTAAAAATTCTGGAAAAATTCACTTGGTTTTGTAATTTAATGATATGATACAATTGTTTTAATGTTGAATGTAAAAAATAGATTACATAAATATATTACGTTAATGGAGATGATGTTTGGTAAACTTATGGCTTGTGTTTGTGCTGAAATGCGAATTATTGTAAATTACGATTTTAGTTTATTTGTTATATAAATTGATATAACCCTTCTTTGTAAAAAGCTGTGCACGCCACTTAAGGTACCTATTTAATGATACCGGCCGAATAATTACCGACAGGAAGTAACTACCTACGTGGGAAATCATGTTTCATAACTATATCCGAGGTATTGTCCAGTTGTTAAGATGATTATGCTATATTATCATTACAGGAATTTTTGTTACCAGTGTTACCATATACACCATTCTCGTGTGTTTGTTCGACGCGTCCACAATTTAGATTGTGTTGGATACGATTCTTCCGAAAACCAATAAGATGGTTTTGGAATCAACCAAAAACTATGGATAACATTATTAAGTACCTAATAGTTTCATCGCAAGCCATTGGTCATCTGCATACGATCGTAAGTCGTAACTTCAATCGAAAAAAAAACCATTTATTTGTAATGCACAGTCACGTTAGGTAAGAGGTAAAAAAACAATTCGGAAGACCAAAATTTGAAAATTTGAAAAACTTCTCACAATTGGTTTAGATTTCGAGCATAACAAGTACGGAAAAACTGAAGACGTAAATTTCCTGACTTATTCTTTCATCGGCATAATAAGAAAAACCCGAGAAAACAGTTACCAAAACCTGTTTTATCAAATGAAAACCAAAAAACATCAAAGTACATTTCCTGACTTTATTTTACATTTAGGTAATTTTTAACAAAAACACTTTTTTTACAATGTAGCTGTCGCCTTTATATCAAAGAATAACCGGAAAAAACCATTATGCTACAATTTCAACACCAGATGCACTAAACTACACAATATTATTACCTACTACTAAAGTACACACATCTTCTATCCGATATTCTTTTCCATAAGTTCGTCCGAGTATTTTTAATAGCATACCTATTAAACGGTGTTTAAATAGATTAGACGTTTACAATATATATTGCTTATGTATTTATGTATATTTTTTTCATAAATTATATGTTACTGTGTCATTCGATAATGTTTCAACCCCCACCCTCTTTCCCATAATAAAAAGCTTGCTCGATGTATCTTGTGAAAAATCAAAAAAATTATAAATACATGTACACAAGCCCACGTGGTTTACACCGTTAAATATTCCTTATTTTCCATCACTCAAGAAAGAAACAGGGTTCCCGATAATGTCTTTTAAAAATCTTTTGGAATTTTTAAGTTTTTAAAGATTATTTTGTATTTCAATCGGTAAGTTTACCACAATAAGATATTACATAAAAATATAGAAAGGGATCGTCAAATATTTGGTAAATTTTTCATAAAATATTAAAATCGTTAATTTTTCGAATGAACAAAAATTTTCGGAGAATTGAGGGTTATTAAATTGCAGTACACGTTTAAATGTTTCAAAAAAAAAACAAGTTTTCCATTAGATTTTGTGACACTACAATTAACCGTATTTCTTGCACCTTATTAGAAAGTATTAGAAATACGCTTTATTTGTATAAATCAGTGGTTTTGAAACTTTTTTTGACCTCGGCACGCTGTGGCCTTTTTTTTTTTCTTCTCATTGTTTAGCATTTTGCACAAATTATAACTAATAATAAAATTAATGAGTCATACAATCAAAGAGTTACGACTTCAAATTTAACGAGCGGATCATCGTAACCGGTGGTCTGTCACAATTTAAGAAAAACAAATTTCAAAAGACCGCGGCACCCAGCTTGAAAACCACTGGTATAAGTCTATTTTTTAAATTTTATCCTTGACGAGCTAATAAATAATTTTCGTTGTTGAAGTACAACGTTAATATCAACGATTACGTTATCTTGTATATTCAAATAACGAACACAAAATTTTCCTTCTCAAAACTCACTAATATTATGGTTACTAAAATAATCTAATCGTTGAAATTTGAACAAAATATTTAAATTTACTTGCCTATGTTATACTTTACCAGCAAAACGAAATATATATCAGAGCTTTTGATTTTCGGTTGATAAAATATAATTTTGTAGAAGAAATTTGAATTTAATTGAAACACTTAAGATAATATTTTAATCTTTTTATCTAGTTTTTTTAGTCATTTAACCAAAATTAAGATGACAAAAACAAATTTTAGTTGTACCAAGTCAAAGTTAAATAACTAAATAAAACATAATTGTATTTATTTATTAATTTTTTGCCAATATCATTTCCAATATACAGCCGATTTTTAAACAACACGAGTACAATATTTTGCATTTTTTTATTTTGCTAAATTGTGTAAGTTTCGAGGAGAACAAAATCGTACGCCGTTTCATTTTCACTAAATGATTTTTTTTTTTTTTTTTGGTTTTTTTGGGCGGCAGGTGAAACTAACCTTACCAAAAGTTCTCCGGCGAACGGGCAACCGAAATGGCGTCGAATGTGTTGCATTTGGCGGTAATAACGCGGAAACGCTCGTAATAATATAAGCGGGTGTCTTACCTCTGCAGAAGACGGTGGCGACCATCACCAGACAACCGTAAAGGACGACGCACTTCATCGCGGTAGGTGTAGGTATACGAATTAATATTGTAAAACACGAGGACAATATTATTGTTGTGCTTATTGTGTCGCGGTCGTAATGCAATACTGATTTCTATACGGCCGTCTGGTTAACGTCGCGGCGGATCACTGTAACAATGCGCCCGTGTGTGCCTAGGTGTGGGTGGCTGCAGCGGCCGCACTGGCGCGGGATCGGATCGTTGCTGTAGAGAACAGCCGTGGTACCGGTAACCGACTGTGCGGTTTAAGACTAACCCGGTTATAATACTACGGAGCTCCGGTCGGCACGATCTCCGAGAGCCGAGCGCGGGCGCGGATTATTCGAAATTGCATAATCCCTCGCGCGCGCCGACGGAAACCAGTTACGTTTCGTTCACGAACTCGAAAACCGCGCGCAGGAAAGTGAAAGCCGAGACGGTACGTGCGCGCACCCGCGGAATTTACACCAGTTCTCACGACGGCGGCGAGGACGCCGAGGACGACGGATGGGGTTAATATATATATATATATATATATTCTATTATAGAACTAGACCCGAAGACCGCGTGATATCTGTTCTGGTCCGGGTCATTGTATTGCCGCATTGTAATTGCACAGAACACGAACATTTTTCGGACGGGATCTGAGAAAAAATGGCCGTACATCAAAAAGGCCCGGGGGAAAAAATTGAATTTAAATTCCTTCGGTTTTTTTTTTTTTAAAATGTTTAATTTTTTTTCATGGCCACATTTTCCTCCGATCGTTTTTTTATAACACGCCTGTACCAAAAATCCATTATATTACCCGCTGGAAATTCGTTTGGTTATATTATACCGGTATAAGTACTCCAATAATAACACCGGGTATATATTTTATTTTATACCGGTATACCGAATAGGTTTCATATCCGGAAATCGTTTTAGTTTTTGGTACAAAACATCAATAATTCCTCCGTAGTCCATACTGTTATTTATCATCACAGTTGTCTATGAATAGTTCAATTGCTGGACATCCGTTTGATTACCTACCTAGTTAAAATAGATGTCAATGTTTCTTTTTTATTTTGGTAATATAATACTTATTTACCTAGGATGAATGTTTATCTCGCACGGCAGCCACTGACATAATAATATTCTGTATACCTAGGACATAATAGCCATCACTTGAATAATCCATCCCTGCGTTTGTGAATTACCAATAATGGAGAAAATATTGTGGAAAATAATTCAATCATAATACTCATAACGTTATTATAATATGGTGTGTTATGATAATTTGATAAGAATATGGAACAGGGGATTAATCTTGATGAGAAATATTTAAAAAAAGAAAGGATTACACTGGTACAAAATATTTGACACATGTCCCGAGGTAGGTCAAAAAAACTATACCGGTAAGTATGACATTTTGAACCCGTAGCGGAAAAGCGAATTTCTAGCCGGACACATTTTTTCTGTGGCTTTTTTTTTCATTTGACCATTATTGCCTAGACTCACACAACTATACATACATCATTCGTCATTTTAGGGTCAGGATTCCACAAATTCTTTGATCCGTTCTTGATACCGATATCGATATCGGTTCTTCTTTCTTTTAGAGTGGAAATAATAATAATAAAAAAAAAAAAAAAAAAAAAAAACGGTCAACTAATGTTATTACAGTTAAAACGATTTATTTCGTACAAAACCGAAATCTGTAATTGTCGGTGTGACCAATAAAAAAAAATATTATAAAACCCCGAAACCGATAAATAATCATTTGGTTCTTCAAGAACCGTTAGAACCGAGAACCGGAACCTGTTCATCCCTATTTAGGAATTTTACAAAACATAACCTACTATTGTTGATTTGAATTCATTACTACTCCGAGGAAGCAAGAGTACTAAAACTTTAAATCCTATAGTTAAAGACAAATTGAAAACCATGACAGGTTATATATTTATTTAGCGCTCGGGCCGAACGCAGATATGGTCTGTAAATGCGTGGCAGGATTTTTTTTTCAATTATTTTGTTGGCTGCTAAATAACTCATTTCAGCTACATCGCCTAGTATAATTCAGCTGGGATCACCCTATATAATAGTATATAATAGTATAGGGTGACCATATTTTTAAAAAAAACTTCACGGTTCACTGTCAAAAAAAGACCGCGTTTTTCTTTTTTTTTTTTATAAAATGCTTATATGTTTGTCTGTAACAATTAAGATAATCATTTTTTAGTAGTTAAATATTTTAATAAAACATTTGTTTGCATTCCTTTTTAATGTGTTTAAAAAAAAGTTGTCAAAATATTATTATTTTTATTGTGCTGTGATGACAATTGCACATCGGTTTCTCAATTGCAATCTTTTATGTCGTATTTTATTTTAGATTCTGAGTAGCACGAGGAATGTATTGTTTTAACATCGATGATTATTTTTTTTATTTTTATTTATCTATGAACAACTTTTCTACTAGAAATCTTATTCTGATTTTCAAGTATAACAGACATTTTCCTGGGATAATATTTTAGGGAGATTATTTTTTGTATTTTCCGATGGTTTTTCATAATAAATGGGAATATTTAGGAAATTTATTATTTTTAATATTTTTTTTTTTTTTGTTGTGATTCAGTTTAAAATATTTGTTGAGACTTACAATTTGAATAGAATACTTCTATTTGTCTTTTCTAGGCGAAGTAAAATGTTCAAAACATTTTAGTAATTTTTGAGCTATTTATAGACATAATTTTAATTTGTAAATTTTTTATGTAATTTTCGTTCGATATCGGTACCCTATGGATAAAATTGTAAGACCAAACAAAAATGCTTACAATTTTAACAGGGGGTTCATTATAAGTACTATTTTGTAATGAAAAAAAAAATTAAGTGTAATGCAGTTTTTTTTATTACAATTTATAATAATATAATTTTTATAAAATAATTTTAACAGGTATCAAATTTTAAACCATGTTTTACCGAACTCCGCCCAGAATCGTTTTCCGTTAGCGATGTTTGACCGTTGCGTGCAGATATGACAACATTAAATTCCCCTCTACACATTGCCTTCCCGACTGCTCGCCTACAACAGTGGCCCCCCATCCCCATCAATCGTGCGGAGTATGTTCGTCTTTCCATCTAGTTGTCCGAGCGAAAGCGATCGTTATTGTCGTGCCGGTGTTTTCATTAATAATACGTCAGTTATGCGACGCGCCGGCCCCGCGCGGCGGGTATCGGGCGCACTCTGCAAGACATCCGCGGATCATTTCGCGGAACAGTAATCTCTTCCCCGCGGCCGTTAGTCGAATGTTTAACAACGCCGCCGCGTCACGTACCCGCGCCCGTTCCGGCAATAAGCCGAACGGTGTGAATATTTCCGAACGAGACGCCGCCGCCGCAGACGCGTCGTTCGGTCACTCCGGTCGTTCCCGCGGCGCGGCGTAAGGTTTTCGGGCGCCTTGCGAATGCACGGCAATGGACGCGCACGGTGGCTGCGGCCGTTCGAGCCGTGCGTGTGCGCTGCGGACGAGCGGACCGCCCGTGACTCGTTTACAGGTTTACACGTGAATACGAGTTCTTCATTCGCGTGCACGCTGCGCGGACTCGGCCGCCTTCACGCCGTAGCGGTTGGTTATACTTGACTTTTGACCGGGGGAAGGGGAGGGGGGATGACAAACAATAAACCATACGGGTCAACAATGCCGGAAAGCCCATATTGCCTTTGTCCGATATTTTAAAATTTAATTTACAATCATTACCATGACCGATATACCTATTCGGTTATTTATTATTATAAACGAAAAGGACGGACCGAGGGCGCTTATAACCGCCACTGTTTTTACGCACACGTTCTTAATCGAGACCTCCGATACAAATCCGAATAGTGAACGCCTACGGGGTCCAGTTACTACGCACTTCCTGTATACGTTCACGTAGACATCCTTAAACCGCGGCTTAACACAAACATTTCCACCGGACTTAGTATTATCATGTTATTACAATGAGTTCTTTTCGCAGTGGTTGCGGTTTTATACGCAAACCTCATTTATCGACACTTTCGAACAATAGTCAGACGGCTTATTATTTACGAAATATGTTATGCCGTTATGGGTATTGTTACGTGATGGGCGGTCGCTTTCGCGGCGTTAAGTTTTCTCTCGATTTGACGCTCAAGTCACGATGAAAACGTGAATGAATGTATTTCAAACATTTCTTAAATCATTTCCCTCCTTCTCTCCCTCACCTTGAAGAATTTAAAACGGCCTTACATTTGAAGTGTTCGATAAGTATGTAATATTTTGAAACGAGATAGTAAAAATAATGGACGAATTAAGTAGTTATGTGTAAATTGAGTTATGTGTAAACTGGGAAGAGATACGTTAATGAAAAAGCGCCTAGAGATTATGTATTAAACGGGGTAAACGGCAATAGTGATTAATAGATATATAGAAGGTAATATACGTGACCTGTAGTCGATCCGATTTGCGTGGGATAAAAGCGAAAATGTTAAGAAACACTGAAAAGTTTTTCTCGTAATCATTTTTTGAAAATTAACTGCATTTAAGTTGAAAATGTGCACCTACTAAAAGGTTTAAGGAGCTGCAATATTTCATCAGTTTTAAAATATACTATTTCTCATGTTTCATCATGCAGACACACTTGAATCGTCAAGTAATCTGACTATCGACAGCATTAGCGGTTCTAGGGGGAAAGATGATAGGTGAATCACCCCCTCTCTTGGCTTGTGTTTTTAATTATATGTGTATACGTAGTCACCCTAATAAGTAGTGTACTTTTATTCATCTCATGGTGCATACCATATTATCACTTTAGCGATGTCTTATCATGTTAGTATGCATATACGTAAGCATACAATACATTACTGAGACCCACAGAAAATCGCGAGATCTCATCAATTACATTAAATCTGTAATTACAGATTACATTATTAATACCAATATTCGCGAAAAATCAATATAAATAATCAACTTCTAAATTCTGAGAGAAGTAAGGAATGTATTTGTTTTGCAACAATGTTTATTATTATTTATTTGTATGCAAAAATGTTTTCTACCAGAAAGCTTACTCCAATTATCAAGTATTAGCGCTTTTTTTTAAAGGCAATGTTCTCTGGGTAGTACTCTAGAGAGGTCATTTTTTTAAAATTCTCATTAATATTCGAGATAATGAGGAGACCTTAGTTCTATACGTTAAAAGAGATTGAAAGATTAAAAATAAGGTTGTCATCAAACAACCGTTTTTATTAATTTTAATATTTTTTAAACAATCATTGTTGTTATGGAAACGTACATTGTTG